GTGGTTAGTATTGGTCGTTAGCAGCACGAAACAGTCGTTCTTTTGGCTGTATAATATAATTAATATTTAATTATTTTTGTGTTTTTCAGAATATGTGTCCATCAGAAACATATTTGCGATGGTCATAAAGAATGTCCAGCTGGTGAAGACGAGGCGGATTGTCCGAAGGAACGAAAATGCTCGGAGCCCAGTCAATGTGAGCAACTCTGCATTGAGACCAATGCAGGATTGAATGAGTGTGCCTGTCGACTTGGATATGTCATGGACAAAAACAAAGTCAAGTAAGTTACAAGATAGTTTATTGATAAATCTTTTTAATGTTAAAATTATACAATGATTGATCAGCTGCACGGATATAGATGAATGCCAGTACCTGACTAGTCCAGTATGTTCGCAAAAATGCCACAATACCATGGGTTCCTTTAAGTGCTCCTGCGAAACGGGCTACATTCTTCGTCCAGATCTTAGATCCTGTAAAGCACTAGGTGGTGCGATGACACTATTGGTGGCCAATCGATGGGACATACGACGGGTGACTCTTAGTAATAACCGATATACGGCGATTGTTAAGGGACTGCACAATGCCATTGCATTGGACTTTCATCACCGCAAGGGACTAATGTTTTGGTCCGATGTTTCAACCGATGTCATCAAAATGGTCTATATGAATGGCACGCGAGTTCGAGACGTCATCAAATGGGGTCTGGAGTCTCCAGGTGGAATAGCAGTGGACTGGATTCACGATCTGCTATTTTGGACCGATTCTGGGACGCGCCGCGTGGAGGTGTCCAATTTCCAAGGCAATCTGCGCACTGTTATTGCCTCATACGACTTGGATAAGCCCCGTGCTATAGTAGTGCATCCTGGAGAGGCGATGGCATTCTGGAGTGATTGGGGACCCAATCCGAAAATAGAGCGTGCTTATATGGACGGAACACAACGAAAAGTAATCATATCAAAGGGTGTGACATGGCCAAATGGTTTGGCAATAGATTTCCCCAACAGCAAGATATACTGGGCGGATGCCAAGCAACATGCCATCGAATGCTCCAACTTGGATGGCAGTGATCGAAATAAGATTCTTAGTACCCACTTGCCACATCCGTTTGCCCTCACTCTCTTCGAGGACACAATGTACTGGACAGATTGGAATACAAAGACTGTATCGGCAGCGGATAAGATAACAGGAAAGGAATTCAGAGCTGTCCATGAGAATTTCCATTTTCCCATGGATATCCATGCCTATCATCCTGCCCGCCAACCCGAGTATGCCGATCGTTGCCAAAAGGATCGAAGGGGCTTGCGTGGCGGCTGTTCGCATCTGTGTTTGCCAAATAAAACATCCCGACGATGTGGATGCCCCATTGGACTCTCCCTTAAGGAGGATGGGAAAACCTGTAAAAGTACAGCTGATAAACTTGTACTGGTGGCACGACGTAAGGACATCCGATTGAGACACTTGAAGAACAATCAAGCTGATCCCAATGAAGTCGATATGATAGTTCCCTTGGATAATCTAAAACACGCTGTGGCTTTGGATTGGTGCAGCGACACGGACTTCATCTATTGGACAGATGTGGAGCGTAGCACTATTAACAAGGCTCATCTTAATGGAAGCTATCAACAGCGTGTCGTCCACTCAAACTTAGTTTCACCTGTGGGTTTGGCCCTGGATTGGATAACCGATAAGTTATATTGGACAGATCCGTCGACGAATCGCATTGAAGTGGCTACAACGAATGGAAAGATGCGTACGTTGCTGATTTGGGAAAAACTATACAAGCCGAGGGATATCGTTGTAAACCCAATTGGTAAGTTCTATCAAACTCAGCATCTTTGGGATTAAATTTAATATGTTTTCTAATTTAGATGGTCTTATGTTTTGGTCGGATTGGGGGGACGATCCTATGATTGAGCGTGCCAACATGGATGGACATGATCGCATAACTATATCATCGAAAAAACTTATTTTTCCCAATGGTCTGGCGATTGATTATGATAAAAATAAAATCTACTTTGTTGACGGAGGCACAAAGACGCTGGAGAACATGAACTTTGACGGCAGCGGTCGACAAGTGATTCTAAGTGAGTAACTAATAATTGAAATATAATTTAATTGTGATCATAATATATCTCTGTTACTAGATGGACTTGGTCATCCTTTTGGTTTAGATGTGAACGAAGGCCGAGTATTTTGGACAGATTGGGATACCAAGTCCGTGATGAGCGCCAATAAGCTGACCGGAAAGGAAACCAATGTAATTATCGCCAATAGTACAGATCTCATGGACATTCGGGTGTTTCATCGTACCCGAAGGCGCATCTTCAACGCATGTGATAAGCTGAATGGAGGATGCTCTCACTTGTGTCTTCTAAATCCCACTAGTTACACCTGTGCCTGCACTGTGGGAGTTCAGCTAAAGGATGATAAGCATACATGCTCCGAAGGTCCAACTCAATACATTCTGTTCGCTCACAGAACCGATATAAGGCAAATCTCATTGGATTTCGATCACTTGATCGATGTGGTTCTTCCCCTGCCGCCAATCTCAAATGCAGTTGCTCTCGATGTCGACCGGAATACGGGAAACATCTATTGGTCGGACACTCTTGAGAATGTCATTATGAGTTCCAGTCCAGATGGACTACATGTCCACAAAGTTGTTGGCGATAGCTTAGAGAATCCAGATGGCCTGGTCGTTGATTCGATCGGACGAACTATTTATTGGGCCGATGCCGGTCGCCATACAATCGAAGTGGCCAGTCTTGATGGTAGCAATCGACATGTTATCGCTTACAAGGATCTGGAGTCCCCCCGTGGCTTGGCCCTGGACTACGAAGCTGGTCTCTTGTTTTGGACCGATTGGGGACATTATCGAAAAATTGAGAGATCCCATTTGGATGGCAATGAAAGATCTCGAATTGTGACTGCTAATCTTGGCTGGCCAAATGGTCTGTCGCTGGATTTGAAGAGCAAGCGTATCTACTGGGTCGATGCACGGCTTAAAACTATCGATTCCTGTGACTATACGGGAAATCAACGCAAATTAATCATGTCCTCCCTGCATCATCCATATGCTCTAGCCCTATCTGAGGATAATATTTATTGGACCGATTGGAAGTCGAAGGCGTTGCATATGACTGAAAGACGAAACATTACAGCGAAGCGTGATATAATCACTAACATCGACGGATTGATGGACATCAAAGTCATTTATCAGGATCAGCCAATGGCTGAGAATGTCTGTGGGCGTAATAATGGTGGCTGTTCGCATCTATGTTTACGTAATCCATCTGGTTTTTCATGCCAATGTCCTATTGGATTGCGATTGCGTCAGAACAGTACAACTCAGTGCCAGAATCTCCCAGAGGTAAGGACAAACATTAACGTTTTCCTTAAGAAATACTTATTAGAAAAATAATTCTTATAGGACTATCTTCTCATCGCCTTGCGTTCTGGAATTGGCATGATATCATTAAATTCTGGAGATTTTATGGACGTCGTTTTGCCTATAAATGGAGTACACGGAGCCGTCGTACTTGATTACCATTATCGGAAGAATCTATTATTCTTCGCCGACGTTAATTTGGATGTAATCCGTAGAGTTAATCTATTGAATTTCACCGAAAGCAAGGTGATTGTCGGTATGGATGTGTTAACGCCCAACGGAATCGCTGTCGACTGGATTGCGGATAATCTGTATTGGTCCGATACGGATCGCAAACTAATCGAAGTAGCTCGGATTGATGGAAGCTGTCGTAAAAGGATTGTCGAGGATAACCTGGGTGATCCGCGGTCACTTATTGTGCATCCAAAAAAAGCGTAGGATTGTTTTTCTTATACATATATATATGCATTTCATTAACTTGTTGCCTTATTTAGCTACTTGTTTTGGTCAGATTGGAGCTCCCCAGCTAAAATCGAGCGGAGCTACCTAGATGGCTCCAATCGAACAGTTTTAATAACATCTGGAATTGGATTTCCGACAGGCCTTACAATAGATTTTACGTGAGTTTTTCTTCTGGGAAATGTAATATTAAATATTAATAATATATCTATTTACAGTAATCGTCGGTTACTTTGGGCCGACGCCTTAGAGGATAACATTGGTCAAGTAGATTTCAATGGTAAACGTCGTCAGACTATTGTTCCTTATGCACCACATCCATTTGGTCTGACTATGGTAAGGATTACTAGACATTAAAAAGATTTAAAAGCAAACTAATTAAGGCTCTTTGAAATATAGTTCGATAATAGTATTTACTGGACGGATTGGTACAATAAATCGGTGTACCGTTCCCAGCGATTGCCAAGAAGCGGATATGGCAATCCATTTGAGGTGCGCGATGCCCTAAGTGGCGCACTGGATATCCGCGCCGTTTCCCTAAGTCGTCAACCAAAGAGTTGGAATCACTGTGCTCAGGATAATGGAGGTTGTTCTCACCTCTGCCTATATCGCCATGTTGACTACGTGTGTGCCTGTCCGGATATTATGGATCCCAAAGATATACCATGCTCGACTAAGCCCAAAGTTTTGGTGCATCCTAATTTGGAGAATGATCAACTGCTTGAATATTCCGATGAGTCCACCGATGATTCTGCACCGCCCGAGCTGATGGGCGAGTCCAATAACCAAGGCGATGATAGCCATACGAAGAAGAGTGACCAGGAAAGGGAGTTCTTTGTCCTGGTGGCACTGGGCGTGGTCATTGTTATGGTTGTCATCATTATACTTGTTATTTTTAGTAAGTGAATATATATATATATATATTCAAAATTCTTTTCGATCCTAAAGAATAACTCGTATTTGCAGTGCTAGCTTTTAACACGAGCAAGAAGAAAAACAAACGTAACTCCCGCGGTTCCAGTAGATCTGTACTAACCTTCTCAAATCCTAACTATAACGTTGATGGTACGCCAATGGAGCCAAAGACGAATATATGGAAGCGTTTTAAATACGACAAATCTCATGTAAGATCATAAACTTTATAGTAAGATAAATATTGAACTAACATTTTAATTAACTTAACAGGAACGAGCCGGGGTCTATGAAGAGCGTAGTCTGACCACAGAGACGGCTTCCTCGAGCCTGTTTGTCCCGACACCATCCCCGATGGCGTCGCCCTCAACAAAAACAATCCAACTGACAACGCTCTCGACTATCACATAGCTGGCATAAATAGTTAATGGCCCCACATAAGTAAATCTTGGAAACCATTTATCGATTCATGCAAATGTGATTCATTTGATTGTAAATGTGGAAAGAAACTGTTTTTAATTTGCTCTTCGATCCCAGTAGAAAATTTCCTTTTTATTTCAAAGATTTTTACAATTTTTTTTGTTTAGTCGTTTTTATGTAAAGTGCAACGTGTGTCCTGTTAAAGCTCAGATGGGGGTTTTAAGATATAATACAGAAATATATTATATATGTAATATGATGTATTATTCAATTATGTAATTACTAAATTATTTTCCTATTTTTTTTTTAATAATAAGTAATAACTATTAAGTAATTCGGGTGCTTCAACTTTGAAACAAAAAACCAAAACAAATATCCTACTATGGGGCGCGTTTTTTGTTTCGCTGATCACAAATTATAAAAAAAAAAACCATAACTTGGTATTATGTTTATGTCTGATTGCCAATGATAAAATCATTTGTAATTCCAATCATAAACACAGAAGTTTTTAAAAGATTTCCCCAGCAAAAAAAAAAAAAAAAAAAACACAAAAAAAAATATGTCAAAAAACTTCCACTTCTGTAATCTAGCACTTATTTAATATACGTGCTAGTCTGTTGATCTAAGTCTGTCTATGCAAAATTGTACAACGTAATTAAATGAAAACGATGAGGCGCCAACATATTTTTCCGAGCCCAAGGATAAAAAAAAACCAGTTTGGTTAAATGTTATTTAAATGGTTTTGTTCGAAAAAAAAGAAAGTTTTTCAAAATATAAAATTCAGGGCTTCAGCAAAATATCTGGTAACTTAAGTTTTCTATCCGTGTTTGTAAATATATTTTTTGCTTGCAGATGTATGAACTATTAAATACACAAAGAAGCATTCTTATATTTGCTCAACAAATTTGGGGCAAAAATCAGTCGTTGTCGTTTTATTTTCTTTAATTTAATGATTTCTATTAAATATATATATTTGGCAAATCAACGCTAAATCGAAAGGGTATCATAGTTTTGCTCAGAAGATTGTAACTTTTGTAAAGATTCTTAAAGAGTTAAAGGTTTCGAGTTTTCAAGGATGAGGCAAAAATGTAAGGATATGTTTTACCATCGGTGTGTGATGATCATTCTGGATATATGTGGTAATATCTACATTAAATGTTGTTACGAATTTACTTAGTGTACTTGATGTGTTTCATTTTTGATTTATCTTGATCAGCAGATCAGCATATTACTATCTCTATGCTAATATTAGCCTTTCCAGTTCAAAAAGAAAAAACAGAAAATATTTTATTGAAATAGAAGTAAGTATTCCATAGTAAGTATTCGTTACAGTTATCACGGAATAGAGTGAAACCGACTATATGCGAATTCAACGAAAGTGAAAACGCTTACAAAAGCTTCATCATATTGAGCTTCAGAAAGGCAATATACTCTTTTCATTCTGTGTTTACCATAAGCACGATGTCCTCTAGTGATTTAGATATATAACTTCTATTATCTTCATTGTCATAGAAAATCTGGATATTATTATTATGGTGGCTGTTTTAATGACAAGTCCAAAATAACAAAGGACCTAGGTTAAGTACCTTTTGTTGCCGGAAAAAGCTTTTAGTTTAAGGAGTAAGTACCAGGACTTAGGTCAATGCTCCAATTAGGAAAACTTTTTCATGATTGAGCTCTTAACAATCGAGTTCGTTGGCTTTGGCTGAATCGAAAAACGATCGTTAATTTCGTTTAAAGTCATTATAGACCAAGTAATTATTATAATATTAAAATATATTTTTGTTAAATTAAATTTTTTTTTCATTTTAAACATAAACTGAAATGGTCTACTTTCATTAGCTTTTTCAGCTTCAGCCATTAGATGTAAAGTTCCTTATTCTTTAAACTGTTTAATTTAAACAAAGTGCCTTTTAATTTGTATGTGTGTATGTACTGACATTTTCTATGGCGAAAAAAGGGTTTTTGAGCTCTAATGGACGTGGAATAAGAGGCGTCTCGACTTAATTGCAACATGCTTTGCGCATGGCGACTGCAAACTGTGCCAGCGGCTATTGATGCTGCATTATATAAAGCATGTCACAACGTGCAGTGGGTTTAATACGCACAAGTCCAAAAAGTGATGAGAATGTCAGGATTTCGGTCTCTGTCTATAATCAAGATATAATTATATTCATAAAAAAAGCCAGAAAAATCTAAAGTGATACATCCAAAATGCTTCGGAAATCGCTAGCTTCTTTCGTAATAACCGGGTATGTTTTCAAAACACTAGTTAGTTCTATATTTTTTGAATCTAGATTTGGTTTAAAGTTACCTATTTTTTAAATAATTTCAAAGGCAATTAAATATAATTGAGTTCCTTCCGAAATTAATTTAGCTAATTGACACTTTGAGCAATTAATTATTCATAACTGCCCAAGTAGCCCAGTTTGAGAATGTAGGCTATATTTGCCTGTCGTTTAGCTTAGGCGGGAAGCAATCAATAAAAGTTGGCAAACAGTCGATTGATTTTATGATTTTCACACTCTGAAACAAAGTGAATGAACTGAAGGACAGCAGATACAAATTATATATCCATACTTTGCTTTCTAGATTTTTTATTCACAATTGTATCTGTGAAGGACATGTAACTGAACCAACTCCATCGGATCTGCTGTACATAAAAGCTATAGATCCAAGTTTAATTTTAACCAAAATACCGAATAAAACCAATGAGTTTAGCTCCAGAATATTTAATTCCTTTCGCGTACTACCATCCATAAAGCAAATAGCAAATAGATCGACGAACAGAAGTCAAAATCCGAAAACAATTAGTTATTTTTCGGAGATTTCGAATCAAAGAAGAGTTCGCCGAAAAGCATCGGCCGATATGTTAAGTCGAAATATATCATTGATTTTGGAAAACCTACTGAAGCGCTACGAACAGTCCCAGCTACCCACTCATGGCCAAGGTGTTCCCACAGTCGTACAAACCAATATACTAATCCGTAGCATGGGTCCAGTATCGGAATTGGATATGGACTACTCTATGGATTGCTATTTTCGGCAGTATTGGCGGGATAAACGGCTAAGTTTTAAGGGTCCCATCAAGAGCTTATCCCTGAGCATCAAAATGCTGGATAAGATTTGGAGGCCAGACACGTATTTCTACAATGGCAAGCATTCCCAGATTCACATGATTACTGTACCTAATAAATTGCTCAGACTGGATCAAAATGGTGGGATTCTTTATTCAATGCGGTATGTTAAAAACAACTTATTATTTTATGTTTATTAAATGTTATTTTTCACTATATAGCTTAACAATTAAAGCCACATGTCCAATGGAGCTGCAAAACTTTCCAATGGACAGGCAATCATGTCCCCTTGTTATTGGAAGTTGTAAGTTTACTTTTATCTATCATATTTCATTTTGTATTAAATTTTATTTTAAATAATCTTCAGATGGCTATATAAACCAACAGCTAATCTACGAATGGAAGAATCAGGACGATGCCGTCTCCTTCGTTCCTGGAATGACTTTAAATCAATTTGATCTTATTAGCATGATGCATCGAAATTTTACAACAGTGCGTCGTGAAGGTGACTTTTCAGTCTTGCATGTTGCATTTAACCTCAAACGTCATACTGGATATTTTCTGATTCAGGTAAGAAATATATTTCCATCTACAGTTTGAGGGCCACTTTAAATGGTGCCTTGAAGTATGTAAATAAAGCTGTTTTAATGGTGATTTAAACCCTCTACTTATTCCTATTTACAATATGTCTTAGGTATATGTACCCTGCATATTGATCGTGGTTCTGTCTTGGGTCTCGTTTTGGATACATCGCGAGGCCACCAGTGACAGGGTCAGCCTTTGTGTAACCTCAGTACTGACTCTATCTACCATAAGTTTGGACTCACGAACAGATTTGCCAAAAGTCAAATATGCCACCGCCTTGGATTGGTTTCTATTGATGAGCTTTCTGTATTGCATTGCTACATTATTGGAATTCGCCGGTGTCCATTACTTTACGAAACTTGGAAGTGGAGAGAGTCCCCAACTAGAGGATCAGTGGGAGGACATCTGCATAGCTAACTCATTATCAGATCACGGGGCGGATGCTGATGGTGACGGTGATCCCTATGCAGATGAGGAGTCCAGTGATGGCACTGAGAATGATGAGAACGAGGGAGGAGCAAGTGAGTCCAATGACTCGAAAAGCGAAGTCTGTGCTTGCAACAAAAATGACGGCTTGGGCCTGGAATATGAGGTGTCGTTGCAGAATTCATTGACCGGTGGTGGTTTTCTCAAGCGGAATGCCATTTTTTGTCCCACATATAATGTGAGTTAATATTGATTTAGTAGAGTAACAGAGCATATACATTTTTCTTGAACAGGACCCATCGTATATCCTGCCGAATACCATGGAGAGAACCACACAAACAGAGCCGCCAGCCGTATCCCGGTTGCATCAGATGTGGATGTGCCTAAAAAGTGACAACAGTTTCCGGAAACAACGAGAACGCAATGCTGCGGCCCAGAAAAACGAACAAGGAAGCGCCAATTGCTATGTGAATAGTGTATCCTTAATCGATCGAGTGGCACGTATTGCCTTTCCCATGTCCTTTGCATTTCTCAATCTTTTGTACTGGTGGGCTTATGGAATGTATAAGAAAGAGTTCTCATGGTCCAATATGAAGTCATAGACGAGAAATAAATTAATGTTAGTAAAAGTTATTAGAAATATATAATAATTAAATTTATTTCATTGTGTGACAATATGGTAAAATTTGAGGTCTTAGATCTACAAATAAAGGTTTTAGATTTTGTTTTGCGGTGATTGACTTATAACGGAAGCTGAAATGTTTTCTACTTTTTAAAATCGAATATTTTCTTGAAGGGTTTCTATGCCTATAAGTATACTCCGCTGAATGCAACATAATTTTTGATTTCACTTCTTGATGCTTTATTTGTATCACATTGTAGGACCTCTGAATCTCATCATCCATATTGTATTTTCTCATAAATCAATATATTTATTATTTGTTTAACTGTGTAAACGTACTGTTGAGATTTAAAAAAAAAGAGAAGCTTTTAACAAGCTTAGCCGCAGGATGTCGCTTTCGAAAAGCACAGCCTTATTGGGTGAACGAGAAAGGCAAAAGGACATCCATGGAAAGCACATGGGTATGTATGTATTTGCCAAAAAGCGAACAAACTTGGGCAATAGGGATGCGCAATGCAGGTCAAGCCGAGCAAAATGAACTCACCCGAGAAGCTCCTGCAGAAGCATCTCTATAAGCAATTATTCATTAGATAGATATAGAAACTGTGGCTGCTCGCACGCAGCAGTTCGAGGATACGCGTGGACCACGACCAAAAATACACAAAATACAAATATACAAAAATACTGACAGAGACGGGTAAACGAGGTGCGAGAGGGAAAGGGAGCAGTGATTAAGTTGGGCAATTCATAAATCTCAGTTTGCCATAGCAAATTCCCTTTTTTTTTTTATAATTGACTAAAGTGTGCTGGCTAATATTGATATAGATGAAATGACAAGACAAACTGCTGTCCTAAATGCATAAGTGCTCCAAATGCTGACTATTTGAATTGTAATTTCAACATAATAATGCTTTTGTCGGTTTCGATGTATATAAACCTTTACGAAAATCACATATCTTATGGAACGGCGAAAAATTAGTGTTTTGATAATAATTTTCATTTAAATTAAACTGTCTGTTTAAAAAGCGAGACCTCGAGATATGTGTTGGGTGTAAAAAAAATGAAAAAAATCGGCGTATAACAAGGACAATATCTTGGCGTTGCCACTTCGCTGAGATGTTTCAAAACCAGCAATTATTTTAAGGACATAATTGTGCAATTATTTTCTATACAATGACTATTTTAAGCACATTACATAATACCATGCTTTTAAGGACAGTGTCCCAAATAGTACTTAGCTTGTTTTGTTTACATTTATATTCCCATTTTAACCATTCTGCTAAAAGCTAAAGAATTCGCATTCACACATTCTAGAGCCACATATCAAGATCAAGAACTATAAAATCAACTGCTAAAACTGAATATGCTTTACTAGTTTATCTTGTGCAATTTTCTAAAAGTGGATGCTCTTTTCTCTCGTTGCAATACACAGCTTGTTGAAACATGTCAGAGTAAGTAAGCCAAATGCATTTGATGTTGCTACCGCGATGAGAGAAGAAAAGCTGGAAATGACAGCGCAATCGATTCCAAAAAGTTGAGACCCGACAAAACGACACAAGCCAAAAAGCTGTCCACCAATATGACATGTTTTACGCGCGTCGGAGTAACCTGTAGTCTGCTCTTCTTCCTACTGGGCGCCCAGCTACAATTGATTCGGTAAGTGAATAAACAGCCCAATTAAAATAGCTAAATAAGGACTCCTTATAGATTATAGAAATATAATCCTGAGTGGTGTATCTGAATACCATTATAAATACATGATAATATTTGGTACAATCATTTAAAAATGGGTAGAAATATTATTTACTTTTGTATAAAAGTCATTATAAAATCCTCGCTCAAAAAGAGGCTTTTTAACAATTTTAAAAAATTTGTATCCACTAATATTTTAAGGAAAAATAAGTGCTGGATAAATGAATATAAAATTGAGTGTACTTTCCAGATGTATTCGAAAAGATGTACTAGCTGGCCGTCTTGAGAATGTTACGCAAACTATATCGAACATACTCCAAGGCTATGATATTCGACTTAGGCCCAATTTTGGCGGAGAGCCTCTACATGTCGGCATGGATTTGACCATAGCCAGCTTTGATGCCATATCAGAAGTTAACATGGTAATTTTATAAGTTAACTACAACCGTAATAAAAGATATAATAATTTCAATATCTTTAGGATTATACGATAACGATGTATTTAAATCAGTACTGGCGCGATGAGCGTTTGGCATTTAATATCTTTGGACAATATTTCGATGGCGATGAGAATGACGATGGGATTAGTGACGTATTAACATTATCAGGAGATTTTGCGGAAAAGATATGGGTACCAGATACATTTTTCGCTAATGATAAAAACAGGTACATCAGAAAACAGTTCTTTTTCAACTTAAGTCTTTAACATATTCGCCTAGTTTTCTGCACGATGTCACTGAGAGAAATAAACTGGTGCGCCTTGGAGGCGATGGAGCTGTTACATATGGCATGAGATTTACCACCACCCTCGCTTGCATGATGGATCTCCACTACTACCCACTGGATTCCCAGAATTGCACCGTGGAAATTGAGAGCTGTAAGCTATAAATCATTTTAATTCTATATATTATTATTATTATACGAGACTTAGTTTTATCACTCTCATTAAATACAATTTTCCTTTTTTAGATGGATACACAGTCAGCGATGTGGTCATGTACTGGAAGCCAACGCCTGTTCGCGGAGTGGAAGATGCGGAATTGCCGCAGTTTACCATTATTGGATATGAAACCAACGATCGGAAGGAACGGCTGGCCACTGGAGTTTATCAGAGACTTTCGCTTTCGTTTAAATTGCAACGAAATATTGGATATTTTGTTTTCCAAACCTACCTGCCCAGCATTCTGATTGTAATGCTGTCGTGGGTCTCGTTTTGGATCAACCACGAGGCGACAAGTGCCCGGGTTGCTTTAGGGATCACAACGGTCCTCACCATGACCACAATTAGCACGGGTGTTCGCAGCTCACTGCCTCGTATATCGTATGTGAAGGCAATCGACATTTATCTGGTCATGTGCTTCGTTTTTGTATTTGCAGCCCTCCTTGAATACGCTGCCGTTAACTATACTTACTGGGGTAAAAGGGCTAAAAAGAAAATCAAAAAGGTCAAAGAATGTTGTCCAGGAAAGATTGGTAAGTCGCGTTTTTAGTAGCGCTTAAATTCGAATTCTAATTATCCTGCCACAGGAAAGAGTGAAAGATCCGAAACGTGTTCAACGACAGAGGACATTATCGAGCTACAGGACGTCCGAATGAGTCCTATTCCTTCTCTAAGAAGAGGTACATACAACGCCACCCTCGACTCCATCGGCACCGAGACCATGAATTTAGGAAAGTTTCCGCCAAGTTTTCGAATAACTCGTAATTACGGCACCGGACATAGTCAGCTTAGGCGTCGAGCACAGAGGGGTAACGGATCAATTTTAATATTATTATAATGTAAAGACTATAAATATTGATCAACAGGAATCTCAGCCCGCCCACGCATGTTGCATGCACTGAAACGAGGTGCCTCTGCTATTAAGGCCACTATACCGAAGATCAAGGATGTCAATATTATTGACAAATACTCCCGAATGATATTCCCGATCAGTTTCCTTGCGTTTAATCTTGGCTATTGGCTGTTTTATATTCTGGAATGATATGTATAAACGAGTAATTAATTCCCCTCTAGCAACAGAACCATGAGATCCAAATACAACTTTTTATAACCTCCATAATAAAGATTGACTTCGCCATAATATTTGGGCGTACCTGATTAGCTATCACGTTTATTTTCTGACTTTCGTCACTGGCAGGTGAAAATATTTTCTAATATATGAGCCTTGGACAAAACAAAAGTAATGATATTACTCTCATATTGGTATGTATAAAACAATGAATTACGAATCTCATGACTATTCTGGCTAATAATGTTTGATACTAAAAATTCATATATGTATAAAATATCGACTGCCCAAGTTTCCACATTCAGAACGCACAGAATATCAGTTTCTACTGTTTACTACTCCAAGTCACTTATAACTAATCTTATTTTATTCTGCATCCATTGTCAACCGCTCCTTCAATTCACTCGAAAAACCACCATTGGTCCTCAAGTTCTCCGTTAGCAATGATATGACGTGGACTCAGGCTCACAGGGTTTGAATCCACCGTCGTACATTGGTCGATCACACGAAAACGCTGGCCAAAATTCCAAGAATCAACATTAAGAACTCACAGATAACTCCCATAAATTACAAGTCTACACAATTTATTGAAGGAATTACTACAGGAACAAACGTAGAAATATGAAAATAACACATAAAAGCTTTTGTCTAATACCATTTATTAAGTCTTTTAAGTTGTATCTCAAGATTAATTTCATTAGTCTTTGAATTTTAAAACATTTGTCGTTGTCTTAAATGTGTATTTTAAATATAAATGACTTACAAAACAGTAAAAATGTTATTATACAAACAATTATGTGTTATTTTGATATTCCGGTAGTTAATATAACAAAAAGAACATCATTTTAATTGCATTCCTTCATTTAATTTTGTAAACTATTTTTTGAAAAAAAAAGACACTACTTCAGCTACCGGACATACCCGAACCATGGACTGGTTCTCAGAATTGGAATTTTGATCCGCCGTTGAGGATGCGTTTGTCGCGATGTGATCAGCACCGCCTATGTAACTTAGAAATTAGTGGTAGTTTGGAAAATAAATTTAAAAATCGGAACAAATCAAATAATAATATGTAAAATCACACACCTGTTAGGTTTGGAGTTGACTTTGGCAAGTTAACCACATCGCGGCGAAACGTTGACAAATTTTGAGTGAATCTATAAAAATAAAAGTGATATGGTTTCAATTAATTTTAAGAAATAAAATATATTGTAAACTCACTTTTCCTTGTTTTTGCTGGACACATTTCGTTCAATTCCAGCCATAAGGTCATCAAACCATTGAGCCATTGTCTGTTGTTTTTCAATTGGCTGACCACAGATAATTTTGTCTCTTAATGAGCTATTAAAAAAGTAGGAATTATTAATTTTCTTAATTCAGTCCTTTAACGTTTTTGTGTAGGTTTAATTTTATCTTACAGATAATAGTCCTCATATAGTAAAATAAGAACCAGCAATGGACGTGACATAGACCACTGATTACGACAATCCTCAGCCAGGACATTGTTTAATAACGAGGACATCATACTCTGTAGCAGTTCTGAGTTCATTTCAACAACCTAAGAAGGAGACAATTATATTTAATTTCATGTTTTTAATATATATATATAAATATACCTTCAGAAATTGCGCGTTTTCATCGTTTAAGCTACGCAGCTTTTTGTTTGGAAATTTAGAAACTTAAAAGGAAATACAAAATTAGTTTCCATATGCTTATTACTTTATATACTTACCTTTCATCTGAAGCTGTTTAAAAATGTATGAAACAATACTATCCAAAATTGTGCAGCAACTAATATAAATCGCAGAATCTAAAAAAAAAAAACGAAAACGTTTGCACTACTGTTTTAAGTATAATTCATTCTTTACAAACCTAACGCCGCAAGTCCTTTGATTAGGCTTTTCAATATGTAAACGAATGCCGAAGGTTCAAAACCTGCCAAGTATGAAACATGATCTTGTGAGAGACAATTTAATAAATTATAATAAGCCGATGATAATTTTGGGTACACCTGCAATTATTTAATTAGTTATAAATATTATAATGCCAATTATCGTAAAGTAACTCACAAGAAGATCGCTCTGTTGTATAGAGAGTATTAACTTTGCGATAATATTTAGTGCATTGTCCAACGTATCATCTCCGTAAAGTTTAAATACTCCGCAGTTAACATAGTTTCCCCCAGTGGCGTTTTTTAAAATTAAGAAGCATATGGCAATTCCTTTAAGTCTCATTGCGTACAGTTGATCACGTGGAACATCTCGATGTAGAATGTGATTTCCGTATATACAAATAAGTTTTGATGCCTCGCGGAATAGGAGAATGCCCATTGGGCTTGATACATTGCCTGCTAGACGTTGGGTGCGACAATAAACCAACTCAGCAAACAATTTTAAAATGGGCGTCGAAACAGCTGGATCATGAGCCCAAAGTTCCATTGCACGCAATAATATGGGCATATAATCCGAATAGTAACTGTCATAAATAATCAAAATATTATTTTATCTTACAAATTGTGACGAAACTTATACTCACAGCCAGTCAAATAACATTGTATATTGAATGCGAGCGTTGAGTGGCAGAGCCAAGCCTCGGATGTCCCGGGCCAAGCCAATAATGGCCATTTTAGCCTCATCACTAGGAAATATATTGGTGTCCATCAGAACGGAGCCAAGGGAATCGAATTGATCTGAGTAAGAAATGCAATTTTATCTCGGTAAATAAGCATTTTATAGGAGCATTTCCAGGAGCGAGCAAAGCACGAGTTTAGATTAATATTTTACTTTAAAATGATACTCAAAAGTTTTACATTCAAGGAAGGCTAGGAGAACGGTTGCTCCAGATTTTAAATTTAGACTTTGCTTGTTCCTGAAACTAATCATCGATGATTAACTTACTTGTTAAGGGTTCTAAAAAGTTATAAAACCTTTCCTCATCTTCCCCCAAATCAAACATTAACAATCGTCCTAACGATGTGTAAAACATGGTCCGACATCTCATTTCAGTCAACGTAGAATTAGTTCCTAAGAATGGGAAATGTTCGCTTGTGTGATGTGTAAGCATAAACTGGATTTCTTCGAGACGTGCCAGCTTGCGCACAGAATTAAAGTGTACGGAGAGATCGGACAGTAACAGCAGGGTTTTTGTAATAATCGGTTCAGAGCGTCCCCAAAACTTTAAATTTGTAATACTGAAAACGTAGACAATTTTAAACTAAGAACAAAAAAAAAAACTTTAAAAAATTAAACTTACATTTTACGGTTAATAAAACTTAATAGCATTTGTTCATCACTTAATCCAAATACTTCACTAAGTCTCTTGTATACATTGACTTTTTGAGTCTGCTCACTGCTATGCATTTTGCGGACCTGGTCCAAAAAACTAAGTACTGCTAGCTCTAGCTTTTCGCAGCCAGCCTGTGGCAATCGAGCATCGGTTAGGCTCATCAATTGCAAGACTCTTATTACGAGCTCGGCATCCATAGTATCGTGCTCGTCATTTGTCGTAACCGACAAGCGACCAACAATGGCCGACCCGATTATATACACCAGCCACGTCAGCTGGAGCTCGTGTACGGTGATATCCATGGGATTTGCGTTGGGCGTCTGCAAAAGATTCTCATACTCACGAGCCTTCTGATCAAAATGCTGAACAAGCAGACTACAAGTCTTGTTATATTCACACCTTTCGATTACCGACAATTGCTCCAGCTGTTGCTGCACCATACACAGATCGTCTAATGGATCCTCTAAATTGTCACGGACAATTAGAGGAACTGCATCCAAGCGCGAATCTATATACGCCTTAATAACCTCCGGGGTGTATGTACCTAGCAAATGTGGATCCGGGGATTTTACATATGGTACAGAGGCAACCATACGTTGCCAGAGGGTCAGTAAATAATGTACACTATTCGGTGCAAAAAGCCACAGCTAAGGATAGGGAACAAGAATAAGAATTTACCACCTTCGCAAGATATTATTACATACATGCAGGGATTGCACAGTGAACTTAGCTATCAGTTCAATGGCTTCCGGATAACATGGGACCGCTATAAGTTCACCCAATTGATAATTAGATTTAAGGCGAGCCAATAAACGGCAGAATTCGTGATAGTTATCTGGGTCACTCAAGCCCTGCAAAAAAGTGCTGCCAAAACATATTCAATAATTACATTTTCAAGAACTTACGTGCAGGCTAGTCAAAATATCTCTAACTCCTTCGACCAAATGCGTTAGAAATTTGGTTCTTTCTGAATTACTAAAAAGAGACCGACGCACAGATGTCATTTGTACCAGACAGGATATGGAGTAGCTAGCTAAACCATTGGGCAAAATGTGGTATAAGTCAAAAAATAGTTTAAGTGTGTTCGAATCTAAGAATGCAGGACGCCAAGCTGTGGGTATCTACGTATAAGGTCAATTTAATAGAAAATTCAAATTAATTAGTTGCGTTTGCGTACATACCTGAACATTGTTCATATCATCGGCAGATTCATCTGTAGAACTGCCTATGAAGTCAAAGCTCAAACAATTTTTTGTTAAACGTAATACGTGTGTTATTAACCTTAAATGGAAGAGTTAAAATAATAAGTAGGTTTTAAATTAAAGTCAATTAACTATATTACTTATATCATATAAAAACCAATACAATTTTTTAGAATCCATAAAGTTGTTCTAATTCTACCTCTTTAAACAGTTTGAACCTCTAAAATTTTCTCAGCTTTTAAAAAAATGTTTTGAAAATTATATCAAAAATGGATAATGACATATCTTATTAGATACATTTCCAATAGGAAGTACATTACAAATCATAAGCTAATTAAATAAGATAATACAGCAACTCACGCTTGCTGCGATTCGTCCATGAAATTTATATTCTTGCTATTTTCACGGGCTGTGATCAGTAGTGAACAGGATAACAAAAAAGTGTCATAGAGCTGATGGTCCCGATAGGAAGTTGCTATTTTCCGATTTTTCGAAAAGGACAAGTGAACGTCTAGCTCCACAATGGAGTTCATTTCACAAACCAGTTGTGATAGAATTTGCACTCCAATTGTGCAATGCTCAACAGAGCCCTTAAATCAGTTTAAAATCTGTTAGTTATAGTCGTTTTCCATAAAATGTACATTACCTGCAAGAATTTTTTGACATCTTCCAATAGGTTTTGGAAAACCATTTCCCCTTTGAATGTATCGAACCATCCAAACTTCGTGATTTTGGCCAATAAAGTAACCAAAGCCTGAACAACGAAGTGCTGCAGATTGGGCCTTGTCGCCAAATAGTTTAATGCATAACTGCGAATGTCAATACGCTGCTCGAGACTTAATCCCTGGATGAGTTTTGTGAGCGTAGAGGCGGCCAGTAATTGGGCGTAACTGGAATCAGCTCTATCCAATAGCAATTGGCATTTCGGCAGCGCATCTTGACTGTTTACAAATATCACAAGAGCTTTTTCCGCCTCGGAACGAATGTTAATGTCTGTGGCTTCGTAAAGTTGCTTGCAAAGTATCTCCAGTTGTTGTATATCCTAACAACACCATTTAATCATTTATATTTCAATATTTTATGTTATGAATGTGAAATACATACCATAACGATGAACGCCGGATTTAGCTTAAACGACAAACTGGATAATTTTGGAAATGTTTGCTTAAGTGATAGTATAATTTAGATCTAACCGCTTTTAAAAATTTGTATATCTTCACAACTTGTTTAATCGAATGCAAGTCATAAGTGAGTTTTTGACAACGCGCCGTCTAATGTATTTCTTATTTTTAAGTAAATTTACAAATGAAAACAAAACGCCAACTTGTTCCTTGAACAAACAAGTGTGACCAAAATAAAAAAATTAAAAATAGTTGGGGTATTCATGCACTTGTTGAACTGCAATCGCATGAACGTCGCATTATCGAAGCAGAGAATCTCTCCCCCTTAAAAAATCCATATGCTAAAATGAGAAATTTTTAAAATTACAGCTCGCAATATACTTAAAAAATATATTTTGCTCTTATAAAATTGAGTGTTTCTACTGCATTTGACAGAATATGTTGCAAGTTTTCTAAAGTTATATTGTGTTGTATGATCAAGGGTATGATCGCTTTAATGTTTAGCATTGATGTAATTTTTTTTTAATTTTAAATTGTTTTTTTACCGCGAACAGTCAAATCAGTTTTACATTTCCGAGAAATTCCATTCATTCCGCTGTACTATGCGTTGTGGAATCGTCATATTATGAAATTAATTTAGCAAAATCAGCTCTGTCGGAGTTATTATTGTTTTATTATTTGTATGATAATAGTTGAAAAGCAAATTGCGAGAAATATAAACAAATTACATATGTACCTCTCGGAAAAAAATATATATTAGCCAACACAAATTATTTAAATTATGTTATCGATAACACTCTATTTTAATTTATTTGAATGATGAATTTAAGTTTTTGTGAAATTGAATTTTATAATCTAATTCTAATTCAACTGTTATTAGAAATCTTGCTATATTTCCTTAAAGTACTTTGCTTAGGATGACAATCGGCAAAATAGCAACAAGGCAGCATGAACAACTGTGGTTAGGTAGTTATCAATTGCGGCTTTGCAATACCGTGAAAATGCCTGGTAGTATCCATTGTTGGTTATGTAAGTTTGGTATTAACCGATGCGACGATCACCAAGAATATTCAGCAGGGTTTTTTAAATCAATATTTACCTCTGCACACTAGTCACATTGGTGGCACAGGATTCCAAACATGTAAAGCTCTTCCAATGTAAATTGAAACTGTGTAAAAAAATGTACTCCAAATATACATAAACAAATCAATATTGTCCCCATCAATACTTTATTTGTTTATTTAAATATTTTGCCACTAGGTGGACCACCATTAAAAGGTTCATAGTTACGTACAAAACTCAGTTTGGTTTTATAGTATTCGTTGTTTTTGACAAATATTTAAGTAGATGACATTTTGTATACATCAAAAATAAAATGGATATATTACAAATATAAAGATTAAATATCATACAAACATAATGTTATATATGACCTTCATTAATACAGTATCTTAATGTAAAACAGATTTCATTCAGGGTTCAATAAGCGGTTTTATATTTTATTTAGTTCGTCAAGTAGTATGCTTTTACTGAAGAGCTGGGTTTTATTGTCCTCACAGACCGAACGTACAAGCCTTATTCCGTGGCAAGCAGCGAAAAGTTCTCAAAATTCAGCTTACCTTGAATAGACTCATCGTCCAGGTCTTCGGTGCTGTTGGTAATACGTGCTGTCAACGGGAAATAAAACATATGTATGAGTTTCTACATTAAACATGAATAATATATATTTATATTTATACGCACTTCTAGACCCCTTTGTTGAACTCACGCCCATGGAACTTTGTAAGCCCCCATTTCGGCCATACAGTACATTCTCCAAGTAGGGCAGTCCATTGTTATTAACAATGTTTAAGCCAAGGCACGTCTCAATTTGTTTCCAGCGATGAAGTCGTTCTTGCAACTCGTTTGTTACATCACCAAGGGCATTTCGTGCCTCAACAATGGATCGATCAACATCATCAATACTCTTTCCGTGCGTGGAAACGAATGCTCCCACCAAACTTGATCGTTTCTTACGCAATTTCTCACAAGCCTCTCTAGCCGACTGAAGCTGTTTCTCAGCCGATGTGCGTTTCTTCTGATGATTCTTACTTTCTAGTTCATATGTGTATTGGAGCCACGATTGAAGCTGAGGTGGCGGTGCCCAACAGTTGTCAACTAACTCGAATTCAGCACGAGACAATTCATTTCGCAACATTTCGATTTCTTTTTTAAGCTGCTGCACTTCCAAATCCGAGTTCGATGAACTAAGTGTGGGAGCTTCTTTTAGACGCCTCTCCAAATCTAGTTTTTCTGTTGCTACATTTTCCTGTTCCATTCTAGCTCGTTCTAGTTCCTATAATTGTGAAAAAAGTTAATAAAACAATGAGATTTGATATATATTATATTAGAACCAACCTTCTGCATCTCCTGAAGACTTTGTTCCGCTCTCTGCAATCCCTCCATATCTTGGGCCATTCGGCGAAGGTGACGTTTCGCATTCTTGTTTTGCTGGTAAGCATACCAACATCCAATAATAGCACTAAGCAACAAAGTAACCAAAATGTAATCCTTCCAACGGGTACCAGTTTCTATTAAATGTTAGACCGCAGCTTCGTTAATTTTCTTTTTGTTATAAATATATTTTTTTTTATAAAATGCTTACCTCGCGGTGGCCCAAAAAGAACAACGTCCATAGCCTTTAATGAGATTTTTTGTTTATGTATAGGATCTTTTATTCCAAGGACATTGCCCACATACTGGAGATTATTCACAGCCAACCTACAACACGGTATATAAATTTAGAGCAAAATGTATTGAATGCTGTGAGATAGTACATAAACTTCGGCTTGCCAAAGTTAGCTTCCTTTCTTGGTTTGGGTTATTGTCGTTTTGCTTTGTAGAACAGTTTCCAATATGAATATAACAAATAATAAATATGGATTATGATGAACAGATATTTTGTAGAATTTAAATATTTAAATAAATGGAGTTATTAAAAATTATAAATAAAAAGAATAAAAATATTTGCGTACCTCGGCAGAGCAGCTCCAGTGACCTTATGTAATTTGAACAGATCAACATATTGGGGCAACTGAACAGATTGCGCCAACCAATCTGTGGTCTGTTCGATGGTCCAATTATGCACCTCTGATCTCAGCCAAGCCTCCCACAGTTCTTTGACCGATATATGCATATCGTCATTAAAGTGAAATGCTTTCTGCCGCTTTTCATAACCTGAGTCGTACTTCAATTCCTCCCGTAAAAACTGTAAAAATCAGTTTAAAAATGACAGAAAATAAAACAAGGCAATAAAATGCTGAGATTTTTAAAACTAATAATGAAAAATGAAATAATAAAGTGAGCCCTACACTAAGTATACTTGAGCCAACAAGTATTGATCGGACTTAATTATCAAGCGGAATTAATAAATAGAAGAGCGCCAATAATCTGCAATAGTCAACTTGAAATCTGTTAGGGTCTATGACGATTTTGTTCCTGGATCTGTAGTTATTACTATATTCTCAGATGATGTCAAATTTTCCCAAAACTGATTTTTAAAATATCAAAAATATGTTGTAATAAATATTTTAATTAACAAGATAGGAAGCTTGGTTCCACCAGTTTTAACAGTATTGAGTTTAAAAATATAATTCATAGTGTCAAATTTCAAACGCCATAATGTAATAAATTAATTAATTATACTTTGATATCGTTTAAAACACAAAAGTTATTACAGGTAACCCGAACGCCGATCAACATATTTAGTTGGATTTATATAAGAGAGGGATATGTATATTTGGAAATTAAATGGTCTAAAAAACTTTTAAAAAACACAATTTTCATGACTTGATAATTTAATTTTAAAAAGTACTCAAGTGTTAAAATTCTATGATCAAAATTCAACTCTAAAATGATATTTTAGCAAATAAGCAAAGAGCATTTTGTTGTGCTTTAAGCAATTGAAGGTTTGATTTTAAATCTTAAAATAAAATAAGTAAGTTATTAAGAAAGAGATTTAATAAAACCAACAGTTTTCCGCAAAAAAAAACTCACGCCTATTATTCTGTCCATTGGCGTTTTAATGTGTTGATCCGGTTCTGTATAATGAAAGTTCTATATGCTTGCTAGTATCGGGTATATTTTTGTGTCAGCTAACCAAACTGCGATTAATAGTCATGGAGACATGATATTTATATACTTTGTACTTTAAGATCAAAAGGCTGTGTAACATACGTCATCAGATTCGCTTAAATCGATGTTGCCATTATCATCATCATCAAGCTGACGATGCAAGCTTGCAATAGCCTCCATTCCAAAGCGATCCTGAACACTTCCACTATAGCAGTCAAAATCATCTGCAGCACACGCACCATCTGCTGAACCGCTTCCCATAGAACCTGTTAAAAGTTAATCAGTTAAAAATATCAGTTATGGAACTACAAAAACTATAAAATCTAATTAACGAAAAGCACTAAGAACAAAAATATAATACATACATTTAAAAAAAACAGGTGCCCTTCAGATGATAGCTAGTAATAATATTTTAACAACAAAATAATTAAAGAAGCTAACTTCGGCAAGCCAAAGTTTATATACCCCTGCAGCTTAAACCATAAGTTGACATGTCTTCGTTCAGAAAGCTCCTAAGGCAATTTTTAGTTCAATAATTAATAAAGAATGCTTTGATTAAACGTCCGCTACTATAAAATAAAAACGTTTTACTGATATTCGTACGAAAAAAATACGATATGTAAAAAGCAAAACCCTATTCAAACAAAAAATAAATGACTATATTCAAAAAAATGATTGATACTAAAAAAAACGATGGTTTACCAATTTGGCCAGATTGTCCTATAATTTGTCCGATTCTTCCTATGGCAGCTATTTCATATAGTCGTCCGATCTCGGTCTTTCCGACTTAAATACTACCTGCAATAGAAAGAAGACTATTGTTAAAGTTTCATCCAGATTGCTTCAAAACCGATTGGCTAATTTGCTTAAAAACGGACAGACAGACAAACATACGGACATGCTTAGATCATAGATCTATATCTACTTTATAAAATCAGAAATGTCTCTCCTTAACGGCGTTGCAAACTTCTGAGTGAAATAATAAGAACCCACTGCAAGGGGATAACGGTTAAGTTAAAATATAGTCAACCATGCCTAATATCTACAAATTTATTAATGAAATAATAAGCGAAGTGTTATTAAAACGTTATTTAAGAGTATAATCCTTGCGATGTATATGATATTTATGTATAATGATTAGTTTTGCACAATATGTGTAATGACATGTTTTTACAATGAAAATATAATAAAGTCACAAAAAAGTATTGTATTCATGCGAAACTTACTAAACTCATTACTGACAGCCTGGGACATTGCCTCGCTTAGAAGATTGTATGAGCTTCTATGCAGATTATGTTCAAGATGAGTGGAGTGCTCTCCACCGCTTCCAGCGTGCGATGCTGCGATATGGGTCACATGTGACATTGACGGGGATGCCGCTGCCGAAGGTTCCGACTGGGAATTGTGTAAACTCTGACCTGCCTCATGGGATGAGTGACGTGAGGCTACATTGGGATTTTGCTTAAACTGATGTTGCGTGTTGTATCGATTCGAAACGACAGATACTGTGTGTGTGCCATGATCTAGCGAATTTATGCTCTTCAACACGCAGCATATGAATATGAAAGAGTAGTTCCAAATAGTATTCTTTCGCATCGTTAGAAATGTGCGGACTTCTTTTACTATTAATTATTGCATACGCCTCCTTACAAATCAACTGAACGGTTTGGATTCCTTTAAGTTTACAGCTCACATTGGTTGGTCGTGAATATCATACTTTTCAACATATGATATCCTAAAATGATATAAAGATGGAAAAATTTAAGATATAAAACCTACGATTTAAAAAAAATACATTCTGGAGATTTCGAATAAATATTATAAATAATATAAATAAATTATAATTAATAAAGACTGCAGAGAGAAGTAACCCTATCGATCCCATAAAGGTATATATAATCTTGATCAGCGTTGAGTCTCAAAAGGCATAATTGCATTTTAATGCATTTCTAGTTTTAATCGGATTTTTGTAGTTTCTCAATATGGTAAAGATGTGATTGTGACTTTACGGTTAGACAATTATTTCTCGACTTTTTAACGCATACTCTCATTCTCTAAGATTCCATAGTGACCAAAGCGTATAGTACGTAAAGAAAATTGATTAAATAATCAAGCAAAGCCAACTGTGTGCAAAAGCATTATTGCATTCCCTAATAAATAAAGATTTACTGGGCGCAGACTTATGAGTCTGTTATTTGCCGATGATATTTTGTTGTAGGGTTCTTATAAGATAACCGCTGAGTGCAAATTTACTTAGAAAGACAAATAAATTGTAGAAAAATGTGTGAGTAAGAGAATGAAGGAATTTTTGACTCGGTGTGATAATTTTCGGGTAGTTATTTAAGATTTTATTTTTTGTTAGCAAGTGTAAGTCTGGCTGCGTATTCATAATAAACCAAAAATTCGATATCTAATTAAAACTAATACCTATACTATATTTTATTCTATCATAAATGCGCGTTTTACATTGGTATACAGGCAAACACTTTAAAGATCATTTTTGATCTTGAATTTGAAAGAAATAAAAAACGACAAAGGTAGTCAATTCAAACAGATATCGTAATGAACCTAACACACAACGGTACATTTAAAGTGTAATGTAACGAATTGACTCTAAATCATAGGCAAAGCTTACTGTGTAACTGTTTTTTTTTAATAATTTTAATATTAGACATTGATACTATATACGATTGTAGATATGTAAGTTTTGGAAGACATCAACATTTGTTTACTTCTAAAAACGGAGAAAACCGAGAAATTTAACCATGTTCAATTTCTTTTAGCTGCGTTATGACTGCACATTTAACAATGCCATTGCCAAACACTTAATAACCACACATATGTGGATGCCCAGTGGTAAACTTCCATAAGTTTTTTTTAGACCTCAAATAAAAATAAAAGCACTCACACTAAAATTCCCGAGTCAGTTTGGGTTGAACGATGTGACCAGTCTACTAACGAGGAAAAATACAACCATCACTTTTAAAATTGACAAAAGATTTTATAAGAAGCGATAATAGCTTGTGTAATATGTATAATATTGTTGATAGATTATAGAATGATTTATTATTAAATGAGAATAAAACCAAATAAAAATATACATATTTGAAAAATAAATAAGTTTATTTAAATCAATTAAGTTGATTTGGAATACAGCAAGGTATAATACAGCAATCCCACTAAAACAAATACATCGATTTTTTACAAGATATTAAGTTAAAAATAAATTTTTTAATTACATATGTATGTTCAACAAAATATTTTAAGAATGTAGCACTCAGAATTATTTCAATATATTGGCACTTACTAACTGTAAGAATGGATCAAGATACCTACACAAAAGTTTTTACTATTAAATGGGCTAACCCAAAATAGTTGATTAAGAATTCCTTTTTTTGTACAAATATTTCACTGCTTTTTTTTGTTAGGAACAACAAAATATCTCATATTAAAATTATTATAATATACCGATAAAATTTCCAAAAGATTCTTAGTTTTATCGAGGTAAAAACCACGGATTTACTCATAAACGAGTTTCTGAGTTGTTAAGAGTAGTCAACAATAATTTCCTAACGCGTAGTTTAAATAACAATTGATTGCTACAGAAGTTGACAGCGCGAAAGACAATATTAACTTAACATTATAATTCGGAAGCAACTACAAAAAGGCGAATACTTTGTAATCTAAGTATTAAACCAAATTTGCACATAAATTTAACAATTATTTGTTGATAGTATTTGAATATAAAAAGAGACCCACATCGAAAAAAAAAATAAAAACGCGCGCATGCAGCATTTTTGGTTAAAATAAACATTAATAAAATAACTAATTGAATGAGAAGCACAGTAAACGATGCGGGAAATTGTATAAAAACATTTGTTATTGCCCATGTTGTACAGATTTGTGTGTGTTGTGAACGATTTAATGCAAGAATTGTGTATTTTTAACCAAGACTCCGCCGCTGATACATTAATACATAGCTCACGCGCACAGGACACCACAGTCCTAACATAAAATTCTCGTTTTCACACCATCTCATCATTGAGTTACATAGCGCCCAAAAGGAAAAAAAGCTAAAGTTTCGATTCCTTGGCAAACAGGTATGTATGTATTTGCAGGGATATATACATGAAGCGTACATCCAACTGTTTACATCCTTATTACTAAAAATAGATTAGACCAAAAACAAAGTATTTCCAATTGTGCAAATTGGTTGTGAATATGTATTTATGCGAACGTTTGTATGTTTGTATGGGTACATAAATGCATGTGAAAATTTGCATGGCGTTTCCTTTAATTTGTATTTAGGATATTATTTACTCGCACAATAAACGGATGTAAATAAGCGTATACGCATATATCTATGATTGTGTTTGTGTGTATATACTGTGGAATCCAGTTAAAAAAGAAACTTCAATCTTAAACCCCGGAGTTCTGATACAAAAATAAAACGTAAAAATGAAAATTGAACGATACTGAAAATGCCATGTCCAAGTCTAAACAAACTAAATCGATTTAACTAAATGCGCCATCAATTTATTATTAATCCTTGAAGATTTGCTGTGCTAATAAAATTTTGTAGCTGTAATTCCGATTCGCTTTGAATAATAATAGATACTTAGTAAAATATACAGATAAATATACTCTTTCATTATATTTAAACTGTTTTCGATTTGAAAATTAGATTTCAAAGCATATATGCGATGAACGATATTAACAATTAGACATCATATGAAATATAAAATTCTACAGCATTCGCCTATTCAAAATTCACAAATTTTAAAGGTTGTATATTAATATTTTCATGTTATAATCTTTATTAGATCATACAATAAATTATCCGTTGTTTGACTCTACAAATATTTACAATCAGAATTAATAACTTAATGGATTCATCCTGCGGAATTTCTAAGGGATATCTAAGATACTACATCTAAACATATTACCTAAATTATAGATTAAAACTAACATTACTAAAAAAATCTACGTTTTTTCTTGCAGGATATATATGGAATTTTAAATGACAGTTAGTTTTGTAAATAAACGTGCACAGTAAAGGCGCCGACTATTTTAAAAACAATGAGCGGCGTTACCCAAGAATTTTGTGTACGGTGGAACAGCCATTTGGGAAGCATTGGAGCTGCGTTTCCGCAGCTTTTGGCAGGCCAGAGATTTGTGGATGTAACGCTGGCCTGCGAGGGCCATCAGTTGCACTGTCATCGCTTGGTATTGGCGGCGTGTTCCACATACTTTGAGTCCATATTGGCGGAGCATCCGTGCAAGCATCCCGTCATCATATTGCCCCGGGAGATTAAACTATGGGAGATCCAGGCTCTTGTGGACTTTATGTATAAGGGAGAGGTCAATGTCACTCAAGCCGGTCTTGGTCAGTTACTTCGTTGTGCCGAACAACTACAAATTCGAGGCCTCTACGGTTCCGAGGCGACAATAAATTACAAGAAACTTCATCAGGCTAGTCTGGAAGCTGTAAAGGATCCAGTCGCATCCACCCCGAAAAGCATTAAGCATATGGATAGTACGGAGATAGATGACACAGCCACTAATTCAACCACCTCAACGATAACCACCTCCTCCGCTCCACCGTTACCAGTTAACCAGCAACAACCTACAGTATTGAAGCGCCAGAATCAGGATGTTCGTCAACAACGACCTCAGTTAAATGGCAGTAATGCTCAACAGCTATCTAAGGCCACCACAGCGATCGTATTGGGCAGCCACTCCAATGCCCCAACCGAAGACGACTCCGGCGATGAGATGCCCAACAATTGGAATGCCTACGGGGAGCAATTTGAGGATTGCGGCGTTTCTGGGCCCTCCGTTGACAACAAAATGAATGTCCAACTAGCTCTTCAGCAGACAAGGTATGTAAAACCAATTTTATCGAAAATTTACTAAAAAGGAAGATATTACCGAAGATTTTATATTCAAATTAATCCCTAAAGGAAACGATAAACTGAAACTCTTTTTACAGGATTCAAATGCAACTTCAGCAGCAGCACTATTTGGATTCAAATGTTGAAGACGACCACAACTATGTAGCCGCTCATGATGAAAACAATGACAGTAGTTTCGCTGCAGGAGTAGCCTGCGGACCTGGTCTGTCTGTTAGCATTGACACTGATCTCGACACATCGGCAAATACTTCCGGAGCACTAAGCAATACCTCGATCGATGGCTATACTTCATATAAGCGTGTTCGACGTTCAGAAGCATCTCTAGCACAAGCGGCCAAATGTGTTTCGAAGGGCGAGACATTCCAAACTGTTAGCAATATGTTTAATATTCCTGTCTCAACCATTCGTTTCTATATGGCGCGAAAAGGAATTCTTCCGAAACGAAAACGTGGTCGTGGTGCTTCCCATGCCGGAAACATAATAATCACAACGAACTCAGGAAAACTTTCAACCGTCCCTGCGAGCATAACTCATCCCCAATCTCAGCAAATGTCCATTGACAGCCTACATCTAAAGGCGGGCATCACAAATACCAGCGGCAGCAATAGTCCGGCAACTGCAACGGCTACGTCTATGTCACCAGCATTTGATATGGCCTCAACAGCTGATATCGTGCCTTTTCACCTTCATAGTGATTCGGCGGCGGCATTCAAACTCAACGATCAAAAGTTACACATGATCTAACCACGCAGTTTGCAGAGCTGTACTGTACTAGTAGGGCATATATTAATAGAGCGGGATTTCCAAGCAGTTTCTGCTTTTTTTTTTAATTTTGGGGTTAGCTTCGGCTCGTGTGGGATCTTTAGTCATAAAATAGTCAACAAAATAAAATTTATACTTAGATTTATTTGATTACGCTTTCATGTTAACAGTTTTTTCCTTGGTTTATTATACTCACTGTTCAAACATTATTCATCAGAATATTTCAAAAATTATATAAATTACAGTAGGTGTATTTTATTGAGGATTGTGACTAATATTGCGTAAAATTTTCAAATATGTTTCTTGTCGCCCCAGTACTCTAAGAAATTACTGTATTGTTAATAAGATATTAATAAAATCAACCTGGAAACTTTTACTAGGTTTTTGTGTGATTGAAAATATAAGATGACAATTCATAATAAAATCAAAGGTCCCAAAAGACATAATCATAGTGCTTACAGCAACGGAATATTATATTTTATGGTATTACACATCTAACATTTTTGAACCAATACACTTTTTGTTGTTTGTAAAGCAGTAATGATCACAATGAGACGGAGAATAAATTTAAAACCAATCCATTGCAAGCGTGTCAAAAGTGTTGGGCCATATCTTCAAATATGTATGAATACCGCTAAATGATAGACGTTGTGAAAATAGTATTAAATACATGAGTACTGTGTACAATGCGGCTTGGCAATAAAATTTTAAATGTATTTGAAGAACTTTAAATATAAAAATTGGCGCTTTTACCACTCAGCAGGTGGTCAGTGGGTGACTTTTTCAAGGTTCCAGAAGACGGTTATACAAAAATCTATATTTTGAAGTATTTTTGTTTGCAGACTTAGCAAACATCATACATCAAATGAGCGCTTACATATGGAAATTAAAGTTTCCATATTTTGCATCAGTTGTTCTTGGTATTGATTTTCATTCTAACAACTGTAAGAATTCAAAAAAATCTTGTCGATGTGATAAGTTGAGAACTATTCTAAAATTTTCTTAAAAATATTTTCTGTGGCATATTTAAGAGTATCTTTTAGTTGTAAACGAGGCAATATGCAATAAAATTTATAATTGCAGTGAAAAATCAATTGGTTTCTCTGGATACCGGATGCCGAATGATAAACCTGTTATAGTGGAAACACATCTTTATGGGATCAATGCATTTACATCTTTTTCGGAACAGGTTGGTGTATTTTCATGGTCAGCCAACGGTCACACTTAAAGGTTAAATGTAAATACTCGCACACGGTTTCAACGTACTTATAAAATGTCCCAAGGAAATCAAAATAATAATAAAGGGTCGCTCGCTGACTTTTACTTGGATAAAAGTCTTCAAGATGATACAAACATGCAAGAAATTTTAAAAACATTTAACAGTAGCATTGACGTTTTGGAAGCTGACATGGAAAAGGCACTTGCGCTTCGTGCAGGACACACGTTAACCACAAACGAACAAATTAAATTAGATAGTTATTTAGCATATTTAAATAGTACGTTGTATTGGATACACTTGAAATTACAAGGTGTAGATGTCTCAAAGGTAAGTGCATTAAATAATATATATAAATGTTATTCTTATAATAATATCTTAATGATATTTCAGCATGGCGTGATGCACGACTTGGGTCGCGCCAAAGAATTACTTGCCCGCGATAAGGAAATAAACGAATCCCTGGCGGCTCCAAGATTGGACATGCCTGCTGCCAATCGGTTCATAGCCGCAGGAATTCACACCCGGTTTGTGGACATGGACGGAGTTATGGTCACCGAAAAACAATATAATAAAAGTCTACAAAAAAATGATCAAAAATAAAAAAATAACTAGACTATTACTCCTTTTGGGGTTGTAAACTAGACAATTGCCAAAATTTATTTTAAACATAAAACTCATTATCGCCTCACTATAACATTAAAATACAAAATACACAACTCATATCACTTATAATCCAACAGGTTAGTAATATATTTTTCATAACTTTATGAAGATTCTATTCATTGGTTTGCTCATCTTATTTCATATTACCCCTTTATAATTCCTTCCTTTTGTGAAGATCGCAGTTATTATCGAGATATTTTGTACGATTCTGCTGTTGTTCCTTTATAATAGGATTCTCTAAAAGTAGGAATTATGGCCAACTTCCTGAAAATACTTACGTTACACAAATGTTTTTGAACCCTCTGGTAAATACATAAGCCAATGCCCCCGAAATTAAGACATTATAATGTTGTAAAGCTGGAAAATAATTTTAATTCGTACGTTTCATTCTAAATGGCTTAATTTACGGTACAATACGATATATTACTGATGTTTCAAAACCGATAAATTAACATTAGCATTGTCCTTAATTTTATGTTGATCATATTCATACTTTAACCATACAGATATTAATATTTCCGATTTAATTTTTTGTTTTCTTGTTTTCCTTGAATTATTAATTATTTATGTATATAGCGTTTTTGTTTTTTCATTTTCATTTTCACTTCGTTTTTTTTTTTGTTTTCTTGGTTTTTTATTTTTTAAGATTATTGAACGAGAACTGGCAATATAGCCCAAAATTTTCTATCAGTCGGTGTAAGATTGCCCCAATAAGGGGGTTTTTAAAGCCCGGGCTGGGCCCAGTGCACAATTGTATTTTTCCTGCCGCTTATCCGTGACCATCGAAATGTTCAAGTTCTCTACACGTCCAGCAAAGGATCGTATAATTTACTAACTAGCATAAATATTAATTTTTTTTTTCATATTTACAGCTGCGGTTTTGTGTTTATTTATTTTTTTCCAGTTTTTGTTTTTTTTGTCTTTTTGGTTTTGTGTCTTTTTTCGGTTTTCTGAAAGTTTTCCTACTCGAACGTTGGCATTGCTTGGTCCGAGGTATGCAAAAAATATGTAAATATTTCCCAATTTATTTATTTTTATTTCGTTAATGCTGTTGTTGTTGTTGTTGTTAATACGTATCGCACTTGTTACGACTATAACTATAAATTGGGATGTACTCACTTAATAATTGTTTATTAATCTATGAATAAAGTATGGCTATGTATTTACCACTCACACATAAGAATACACATTTTTTGTTGCTTGTTAAGTTTGTTTTTCATTTTCCATTTTCCGTTTATCCTCCTTGTATTTTTAATTTTTTTTTATTTTGCTTGGGTTTTGTTTGTGTTGGTTTTGCTTCGCTCCATTTTACGTTAACTAGTTTTGTTTTTGTCTTCACATTTACATTTATATACTTAACTACTTAAAATTAAATTTATTTATGTGCTTATACACGAGCAACGTATTGGTAACTAGGCTAAAGTAATCATAAAGGTCGATACAAACTTCATTATTTAGAGAGAAAGCTAGCTGCGCGCTGGCTCCGGGCACATGTGAGTGGAGTGGGCGTGGCTGATTGTTGATCCTATGCGCGATTCTGGATGTAACCATAACAATGATGATGATCATAACGATGATCATGATCATGTCTATGATATAGATAACAATATCAATGCTTATATTCCGGGTAGCAGCCATTCTCGATGATTTGTTCGGACTGACTGTTGTTGCTGCTGCTGGTATCGCCTGATTGCTGATGATGATGCTGATGCTGCTGATAAATTGGCAGCTGAAGTAGCTGCAACTGCTGCTGATGCTGATGTTGATTTAGTGCCGCCGTGTCTGCTGCCGATTGCAAACCGCGACGAATGGGCGGCTGGATAACACTTCCACTGCTTTCCGTTTCCGTTGAGGGCGGGGATGGATAATAGTCCCTCTGACTTACATTTATACCATTTGGGACGATTGGCAAAGCCATTATGGAATTGTTGGCTACCGCCGTCGCCGCTGCCGCTCCCGATCCCGATGCCGCTGCGGAGGATTGATGATGATCGCCGTGGTGCTGATGCGGATGCTGCTGCTGCTGATGCGGATGCTGCTGCGTTATAGCCCCCGAAATGGGTCCGACGTCGATGTATGGTTGGGAATCCGACATTGTACCGGATGGCGGCTGGTCCAATACCACGACGGATACCACATCCTCACTCGCCCACCGGGCTAACTGTTGTTGAGCTTGAATAAAGTCATCACTAGAAAATAATAATCGTAGCAGGAACAACGGCACATGGTAAGAACAAAAGGGGGCCATTGAGGACGAGGTATGGGATTGGTTAGTTGACAAGGATTTCGTTGGGTAGGAGTCGTTTTGAAAGTGGTTTTAAAAATGAAAAATGCTTTATATCATCCTCTAAAAAATAAAAGCTTCTAAGGCACAGTACTACGAATCTAAACATCCACAAATTTATTAAATAAATATGGAATTTATATAACTAAAAGGTACATCGATTCCGTTCTTGTGGTTTTTAACAACAAATTATTGCTTTTATCAAATGATAAAAATGTAAAGCTTAGTGATTCAGGATAAATGCAAGCTCGGTTGATAATTTTCAAGAAAAAAAAGAGTTTTTTAAGAGAACAATAAACAAAGCAATTGATTCCTCGTGGAAAGGACAAGGGTAATGGCCTGGTAATGGAATAAAGAGACAGAAATAGTGGCACGAACTTACCTCTCGCTATCTGGTGTCTCATGGCAGTCTAGCCGAGCGTCAACCACTTGGCGCTCGTGGTGGTCAGCGGTTTCATAGATGCCCTCGTCCTCCTGCTGCAAATGAGTGTGTGATGAGTGGTGCGACGAGTGTGGACCGTGCGTGGCATGTCCGTGGGCATGGGAGTGGTGCGTATGGTGCCCGAATGCGTGAGGTGAATGCGACTGGTGCGGCGCGTGTCGTCCTGAAGATGCCGGCTGCCGGTAGCGTCCACCGAATGTGAATCTTGACTCCTCATCGGAACGGGGACGACAGCTTCTGCTGTAAGACGCATGAATTGTAGCGGTTTTCTGAGATTGTGGTATTTGCTGATTGGAGCTATAGGCGATAAGGATAAAAAAGGCAAGCAAATAATCAAATTATTTAGTGGCATGGGAGTTAATGGAGGGTCGGGTTGAGGACTTTTTGGTATGTAGGTTTTTTGTTTTTTGTTTTATTTTTTTTTTTTTTTTTTTTTGATTTGTATTGTTTAGAAATCGACAGGCAAACGAGATTTTGGACTGAGCCTGAAACCGAGACCAAAACAGAGACCGATACCCATGAGGAACTTAAGAGCAATGTCAACGCATCTATTACAATGCCTTGTTAAAAGAATGTGCAAGTGATTATACATATATAAATAGGAAAACGATGTGAAGTCAAGACCCTTAAGAAATAAGACCAGACAAGATGGTGTTAAGTTAAGTTAGTTAGAGTGGCAACCAACCTTTATCACACAAGGTATTCCAGCCTGAAGCCTGCAAGAAATGCGAATATAAATTGGCATTGGCTTGAATTACATTTAATATACTGCAGTACAAACAAGCAGTGGCTTTCATGCCTTAATGGTAGGTCAGTTTTCTGTTTAAAATAACATCATGAGTTTTTGTATATGCTTTTTGATGAGTATGAAGCTTTTGTCATCGTTAGTTTTTTTTTTTTTTTTTTTTTTTTCGTTTTTTTGGTTGTTTTTTTTGGTTTTTTTTTAATGAAAATATGAGATACTCTCAAGCCATCGAATATATTAGGTATATTAATCACTTGCTCTACGATTTAGTTATGGGTAAACTGGAAATTTTGGTATCATAGATTGACTATTGGAAAATTATAACGCGTTGACTATTAAGAATACGGTTGGTTAATGGGAAGCAACTGTTCACTGCCTACGTTATAATACCATGTTACAAAGCGCAATACATTTAGGTGTAATAGAACTTCTAAGAAATTATGAATTATATATTCATAGACACAGCAGTTGTTAGTCATTTTTTAATGTTGAAGTGTGTTAAGAAAAAAAATGTACGATATTTAGTTGAATGGTGGACAAGACAAGACAGGACAGGACAGGCTTTTCGGGTGTCTGACTGACTCGGTGCCAATACGTTAACGTGGTTTACGGTGAGATTAAGTCGGAAGCAGAAAATAAACACTAACCCTTGAGATGACTCACTACAAGCTGCGGAACTTTCTAATCTATAGTGTCGATCGGCTTCTGTTTCCGACATTCGTATATCCTCGGATCCGCTGGGACTCATATGACGGGACGAGTGGTGCTCAAGTTGCCTTATTAAATCCTCCAGATTACGTATTCGCAGCGGTCCGGTCGACGGAGCATCATCATCATCCAGCTGCTGCGGCTGCAATGCGACCGTCGAGGGCTGATGCAGCTGATGTTGCGATCGATGATGGTGCAGCATTGTACCGCCATGCGGTATACCCCCCGATATAGTCGTCGATCCGCCACCGGCTCCCACGCTCGATCCCAGTCCCATACTACCGAGGCCAGCTCCGCTGCCGTCGAGTATGATCGCATGTACGGCGGCATTATCGCAGATATTCTCCCGCGAACTCGATTTCGATCCAATATTCCGTTTATACTGCTCAGCCGAGTATCCTAGCTGCGAGTTGTTGCAATCCTGCAGCGTTTTTCGCAACATCTCTTCGCTGAGACTGCCGCTGCCAACGGGCGTGTTTCCGGTTCCGGTACCACGGTGTGTGGCAGCATTGCGCAGCGCCTCCAATATATCCTCATGATACCCATTCAGAGACTTCAACGTACGCTCCACTTCGGAGGCAGCCGCACCGCCGCTCGTCGATGCCAGGGTGCCGTCTTGGGTTATAAGCTCGAGGTTATCGGACTGATTGTCATCGCCCCATTTATCTTTTAGCTGCTCACCGTGCACCAGACCATAGCCGTGCTTCTTTAATATACCCTTCTCTGTGGCAGCCAATAATAATGCATTAAGTTTGAAGTGAGTATTTAGTTCCAATGTGCATGTAAAGGAATATACAAATTTGGTAGAGAAAGGCACTTGACTGCAAAACAGCGATTATAGTGGGGATGACTTAATACTTAATTGCACAAGTAAAATATATTGATTGGTTTATTTGGACTTTCTTTTTGTTTTGTTTTTGTTTTTTGCTAAATTTATTATGCAACTTCCACATAACAATAAATACTACTTGTGAATTTTTGTATTCCCTTAGCCAAAAAGATTCCTAATTTTAGTCGAATTTTTGTATTGTAACCCAGAGTATTATATATATTTCTGATCATCATTACCATGCAAGTCAATGCAAAGATAATAAATATATAAAATCGGTTTTGGGAAAGTAATGCTTAACCAGAAATTGAAGAATTAACAAAATTCATATGCGGCTTTGTGTTTTTTTTATTAAGATAATATAGTTTAATTTTTGGACAGACAGACGGACTTGACTTGCATGTAGGTACTGATCATGAATGCATATACATAGAAATGTCTATAAAATGTTAAATACCCTTAACTCTACGAGTATTGATAAAGATAGAGGATATGTGAAAAGTATTTTAAAATTTGCATCCAAATATAATTACAAATATTATTAATAATTATAATACCAAGAAATTTGAAAAACGGTCAAAATAATTTTCATTTACATTTTCTTTGTTATTTTCATAAAAATAGGCAAATTCGTTTTTAATGCAAGTGCAAATATTCATGCCCAATTTATCAACCTAAACTTTTAACAAGCTGCAGTCCATCGATGTTTTTTTGAATATTAAAATTATCTTGGCAACATAAAATAAATTAAAAATAAAATAACCTTAAGTGAAGTTGAAGTTAATTAAATTATATCTTTATTTAAATAAACATGAATAACATTTAAAATGCTAATATAAAATAATATAGCTAAAGCCTTGCAGCCCTTTTATGGGTACACCCATAGGTAAAAACAATTAAAGGGATTTCGAAAGTTTCAACGGACATGGCCAGATCGACTTGGATACTGATTTCTGATCAAAAATACATATACTACAAAATACGAAAGGTTTTTATCCATTTAATACGAATCTCACGAATATAAAATAACCTTTTTATGTCGCAAGCTCGGTGCTCTAAAATGTAATTTTGTTAAAGGACTTTTAATAGAGCCCACAAACATTTTTTTTAAAGAAAAGCCCGGGCAAAAAAGGTGAAAATTTAGGTCGTTAAAAAAGGACATTAGAAGCTTGTTGGGAAAGTGTACGTAATACGTATATATATAAATAACATACATGTTCGCTGAAAATAAACTTATGATTTGCTATTGAGAGTATTAATGTAATAGTAAAACTGTAACTGCAATAATAGAAGCTCTGAAGAGTACAAGCAATAAACGTTAATCAATTATTAGTCTATTTAAATTTAGGTTGTTAACATGGAAGGCATCTAAATTGTTAAGCGGGAACATAGGAACACAACTTATGCCAAACCGTTTTTGTCATTAATATACGATTATATACTGTTTTAGGGGGAAATTCCCGTTCCCCATGATGCAAAATCGGTGAATGTGTGAAAAATATATATAATATTGAAGCCTTTTACGTATATATATATTTTGTGTGAAGTCCCCATTAAATTTAGTGAAAATTAAAGAATTTATAGTCAATAGAACGAGAACCTCCCCTTAAATGCAATTCTAAATTCTTAGTCGGGGATCTCACTGAAATCTCAAAGAGAAAGAATAATGATTTTAAAAGCATTATTCATAATACGGATCTAAGAGGTTTCAGTGACACCCCTTAGCCACTTTGTTTGTGTATCTAATCTAAAGCACAAGTATTTGAATAATTGTAAACATAATGTATTAACCTGCATGTGACTGATCGTCCTCGCCACATGTCGTGTAGCGTCGTCCATGAATGCCCTTGTCCCTGTGAATGATAATTATAAAATAGGTGCATACATCTTGAGGCTTATTGCGATAGGTTGTAAACGATGAATCAGTTATAAATTGCCAAATATGTATCAGAATTACTGATGCATCGATTACTGGAGCATAACTTTGTTGTAAACGGTGAATCAGTTAAAATGCTTTGAAAATAGTCTCACAGTCTCCTTATACATCGTTTACATAGCTATTACAAGGTAAGGTTGTGGAATTTTTTTGAAAAAATACACACCTGAAGCCAGTTTGATTGGCATAGACTAACTTGCTGGATCCATCCAAGGAGACCTCTTCAACAGAATGATGATTCGGCGCAGTTGCCGCTCCACCGTAACTTTTTGCAATCGGTTTCTTCGAATAGGGCGGATCGTATTTTAGCGTAGTGGTCTTTCGCCTATATGTGGCCATCGGTACCCATATTCAGATTGTTGTTGTTGTTGTTGTTGTTTATTCATTTATATGCGTTATATATATTATAGATTTTGCATACACTCCAATGTATATAGTATGTGTAATAATTTAAAGCGTAAAGTTATGCGTGTTTTTACAGATATATGAAGTCAGTTATCGTATTTATTTTATTTCATTATTCAGCAAAATCAATTTTACGTCAGAGTGTTGTTGTAGTTATGGGAGGCAGGAAGCGTGGTTGATGGGTAAATATCGTAGGTTTGTATATGTTTTTTTTTAGTATTGGTTTTGGTTTTTGGTTCAGTTTGGTTCGGTTAGTAAATAAATAAACAATGTTTATGGTTTTATTTGAAGAGTATGAGGCAAAGACGTGCACATTATACACACGCATGCACCAGATTAAGTTTAATATAATTTAATTTTTTTTAATTTATTATTTTTATATAATTGCATGTGCATGCGTGTGTATTTAAGAGCCCGTTGAAATATGTTTTGATTGGATTTTTATATCAGGATTTGGTTTTTTGATTTCATAAATACCGATTTGAATAGGTTTAATTTGGTTTTTGTTGATTTTGTTTTGTTGGATCATTATATTGATGTTGTTGTTGATTGTTGTTTGGAAACGAAATGTTGCAATGAGAGTCTTAATTAATCAAATGCTTACAGATTTTGAATAAACATTTTGGGTTTGAATATAAAGATTTTTGTTTTGAGTTGTATATATGTTTGTAAAAATTAACACACAGAGTTATACGCCTGGTCTTAAAATATATATTCATGCATACTTTTGAGGGTCATAAAAAGGATAAAAAAGCTATATATCATCGGCTAAGCCGAAGTTATTTTTATACCTTGCAGTCATACAAAAACGTTTTTATTTTATTTACAGTACATCACAATAATCAGCAGCCTTTTAACGTTTCTTAAAAAGTTGTCATTTTTGGACATTGGATTTTGTATAAGTAAGTATAAACAGACAAAATTATTGGTGTTTTAAATATCTGTTGAAAAATCTGCAAGGGTATACATGTATATATATACAAAACATGGAAGCTATTCAAAAATAAAAATAAAGTATAATTCAGGCGAAGATTATATAAAATGGCGTAAAAGCATTAGAAATTTCACAATAAATAATATTAAAAAATAAGATAAGGCCCAAGTTTAAATGAATACTAACAAGCGAAAGAATTAAAAATTTTGATGGTTTATAACGTATGAGGAATACGAAGATTTTTTTTGATGTTTCACATGCGGAACCAGGTATAGATTATGAAACTAACTCCGAATAAAAACTAATAATTAAGGCACATGCAACTACGCGCAGTGCGGCTCAAACTTGTTGTGAGGAAGGAAATAATTTAGATTGTTTAAAAAGAAACATAATTGAAATTGAAATGTAATTAATTTGTTTATGTATTGGAAAGCCACCGAAAGATTTTTAACAAATTCCGCACGGCAAGTTTTTTTTTTTGATATTGTTTGTAAAAACATACATTCTTAGCGGTTGTGTGTTTTTTTTTGTGCATGCACGAAAAGTTGTTAATGTTTTTAAATAGTTTAACCGGGAAATGATCGGTAGCGATTACTATATAGTTAATTTGTACTTTAAGTAGTTCCAATTTCAATGTTTTCGACAGTATTTGTAATATATGTGGGTGTATTTTCGGTTTCCATAACGTTTTGGGCCATTGTAACTGTATCTGTAACTGTACTTGTAACTGTTCGTGTTATTGTGTTCGTATCTGTGAAATGTGAATGTATCTGTATGTGATTGTTGTATTTTTGATCCCAATGTTCATACCATATTACACAAACAAAACATAAATGCTTTATGTGTGTACATTGTATTCGTATTCGCATTCATAAAGACGGCTTTTCGGAACACAGGAGGCTTACTCTGCAGAAAGCACCACCATAGCTCAAAGTCAGTTTCATCTATGTTGGGCCCTAAGCGCAAAGAGAAGTCAAAATATTGATCGCCTCGAATCGCAAGCTATCGCCTGGATCGTATATATGTTGTATATATATAGTTCCCATATATCATATATAGGAACAAAAACTTCACGGATATTATATATCTACTCTTGGCTTTGGGCTGCAAGTTAGCGGGGCTATTACGAATACTTAAAATACTTAAACTTGGGGTCGGGTCTACGAGTATATCTATGAAATCTATAGAGCACACTTCTATTTATGATAATATGCCCCGTGTTTCGGATTCGGATTCGGTATCGGTATCGGTATCGGTTTCGTACTGCAGGTATGTTTAATGATGGTGGCAGAAACAACAGCATTATTTTTCTTGTTGATTATACATATATATATATATGGATATATAGTTTTTGGCATGATTATAGTGCTGGACAGACTAAACTGAACAAAAGTAGTAATGAAAAACGTCAACGAGATCACCGCCGTACTGACGACAACGATAACATACACAAATGGCAATCCTTTGTATAGCCGCTTTCAAATTGTGTGCTATTTGACTCAGAAACTATAATAATTTAAAGCCAGAATCGGTGACTAACAAAAAGTTATAATTCATGAAATATGTTCAATAAAAATATGAAACCAATATCATAACTACTTAATTTGTTAATGTATCTAATCCTTATTAACTCGTTTTTTTTTAATATTTCGTTTTTTTTTCTAAAGAAAACAACTTAAAATAAAACTTTTTTAGCAGGTACATTAACTTAACTTTTTATGTTGACAAGAGTCATGTTCTTTAAATCGTAACCAATCGTCGTACTTTAAGAATTTCATGGTTTTTCCGTAGGTTTTTCATTCGTTACCTAAATCAATACCAACAGAGTTATTTTTGTACTGTATAAGCTATTGGTACAGCTTTAGAGGGGCGTCTATAAAAAAATAATTTAAAGTCGGGTTGGTTAAGTGCTACATCTTTTAAGAATATATCTGATATCCTTTTTAAGAGAATTTATTATTGCATATGCAAAAATCCACGTTTTTTCTTAAGGTTTTGCCCATTTCAACGCCTCCAAGTCCTAAGGATCTGTGGTTCCCATATTTTTATAGGTATAGAAATGAAAGAATGGCTAAGGCCAGAGTCTCTCTCTCTAACATATTTTTCATACCGATTTAAAACTATCAATGCGTTAAAAAAATACAAAAAAATTATTGTTTTTGTGCCTATATCAAGACATTTACAAGAATTTTGTTTGGCTTAACCTTAAGGCGATTTATATCTCTAATATATTTTTAAAAATTGCCTTAAAATGCATTCGAAAAACATTTTAGTTTCTTTGAAATCTCTTTTAGGTAAAGATTAATAGCAATATTTATATTTTACATTGAAAGTCTGCAACAATTTTAATGCAATATTTCTAAAATTTAGAAAAATGTTTTTATGAGTGTAAGAATTGGAAATATAATAAGATGTATAGAGATGTGCAAGTGTGAGGTAGGCAGTTGCGTACGCGAATCGACTCAGAGTAAATATTATATATGATTGTATCGATTAAACTAAAAAAGAATACCAACCAATTTACTGAGATACAATCAATGAAATATTTAAGTAAAATCCAACGTACGCCACCGATAATAGATTTTAGTTAAGACGTTGTAAGAAGTAAGTACGTTTTGTGTTTTTTTTTGTTGTTTATATGAAGCTTAACAAAAATGAACAATGACAATGGTTTTAATGCAACGACACAGACAAATTTATCAAAATGCGAAACAAATAAAACAAATTTACTAAAGTTTTTTTTTTTTGCATATTTGCATTTGCAAGTGTTTTTTTTTTAAGTTTTTAAAAAAATATACTTTTATGTTACTTTTTGCTTGTTTTCTTTTTGTGGTTGTAATTTGTATTTGTATTTAAAGCTGGCTTTTTCATTACTTCTTTTCAACTAACCTTAGACACAGGGAGAAGTTTCTATGTACTACAACTGACCTGTAGCACAATGCCATCAAGGTGAATGTTATAAAAACGAACCCTACAACTGACATTAGAACACCGACTAGGAACACTGTATTTGAGCCGTGGTAGTTCTCTATACGAGAAATTTTCAGCCAAGTTTTGTTTTTTTTTCGTTATGTGCCCCATTGTATTGCATTTGTGTGTGTATGTTAAGTTCGATTTCAAATGGGTGGAGGTATACATTTTGGTTGGTTCATTTTATTATATTGTATGATAGATTTTTTATATTGGTTTACGTAGTGATACGCCAGGTGATTAACGAGGACGATATTTCGCAGTTATTTCATTTCATTATTGCAGTTGGGTTGTGAGTCAGCCGAAAAAAACAAGGAAATACAAAGTTTTGTTGCATTTGGGGGAAAATAAGTTATAATAGGCATTTCACACATTCTTTTGGGTTTTGATATTTCTTTTACCGATTTGCATCTTTTTTTTAATCATTTTTCTTAATTGATAAGAATACGTAAACAATAAATAACAACGATAACATGCATACATTGTAGTATGTGTTCTCATTGAGAAAAACTTCTTCGGATTGCCAAAGTTTTGGGAATGGCCAAAAACGGATAAGGTACTCTCACAATTGCTTAAAATTAAGTTAATTTTCTTATTTTGTTTGCTTTTCTATGACAATGGTAATCGTATTTGGCATAATTACCACTAAAAATGAACATTCGGCTCAGAACTTAAATGTTATTTTGGATCCCGAGTGAAATGACTGATTGTAAGCATTTATATTTTTGTTTAGTATTATTTTAAATTTATTCTGCAGACTTGTTTCGTAAAAACGTAACTAAACAAAAGAAATATGGCATAGAATCTGAGACTACTTTCGTTTCACAAAACCTTGTGCATTATATTTTGCATTGCAAAATGTACAAAATTCGTAAAATACTAGAGAAAAACTATTAAATAAATTGGGAGCTCATTCTAACAAGGTTTGGTTTTTATACCTACGGAGAATTAAGAAAATATTTAGTCTACACTTAGTTTTATTACTAAGCAATATACTCCACATTTTATAAACGTACTTTTTCAGGTTTTCTCCAACCTCTTTTTTATAAACATCGTTATACTCGTATGTTCTAAGAATGTTTCGCCAAAAACAGTAAAACTGTTTGATTTTTCACATTTTGGGATTTTCGTAGCCGAAACTGAATTTTGAAATTCAGTACCTCTTGACTCTTTGTGTTTTCGATCCTTAAATATTATTTTTTGTTCCCATGCGGACTCAAAAAGACGGCGCATAGTGTTCGTAAGTGGATAAATGATGGCTGATTATGTGTTCTGGTGAGTGTGCTTTCGAGAGGTGTAAGTAAAAATAAGAATAAAAAAAGATGGCCTAACAAACTCTCATGTTTAATTATAACAATTTTTATAGAAATTAATAAACAATAATTTTTGGTTCTCAAATTTATTTCGAATATTTTGCTGTTTTTTTTTTTTTAATTTTATGTTTGCGGATATGTTCTTATATGCATATTGTCATAAATAATATGAAAAATCAAAATAGAATTAAAAACCAAAATAAACTGAACCGAAAAATATTGATATTATACATTTTTAGATTACGACGACAAATTACAAGCACGTACAATTTCGAAACTTATAAAAGCACTACGAATATTTTACACACAGCGATAAAATCCAAAGGGCAGTCAAAAAGTAAAATGTTTAATGTGATTATGTTAATGTTTTATAGTCACTTCATATTGAAATATATAGGATAGCGCGTGGCAAAGATTTATATACAATTATTTAGATACAAAAATTCAGCAGCGTGAAGAGGAGATTATTTTAAGGAAAACCCTAATTGAAACTTGAGCATCAATCCTGTTCTGATTTGATTGAAATAATATTGAGAAAAGTATGTTTTGAAAGCCACCTTATATTAGACATAGTTGAGAGTGAAAGTATCAGAACAGGGCAACAAAATGTACATTCATTAAAGAGAATCAGGCCTATATAAACCTAACATCTGTAAGATACATTTTCCTGAATAGGTTAATCAAAAAATATTAAATACGTTTTCAAACCATCAACAACAATAAGAACAATCAAAACATTTAGCTATGATTAATAAATAAAATGACTCAATTAAATAACTATTCAGGAAATTGTAACTTTAACAGTTGTAGGAGAGATATTTCATACTGTAGATATGTAATTGTAAGCTTGAAGTATGTTATGTGGTATTAAAATGTAGCCATTAAATATTGAAAGTAAACGTATTGACTTGTGGAATGTACTTGTGTGTGTGGTGGTGATGGTAGTGTTGCTAAATTCATAAGAGGAAGAGCATGACTTGCTCGGTACTCTACCTGTAGCAAACGGCCAGTGTTGCAAAACTAATGAAGACACATTTGACGATAACTGTTAAAATGATGACCATGGTTAATGTGCTGATCCTATTTTGGTCAGAGGTGCCTGCAAATGGTGGTTGCGTTTTATTTTTAATCAAATTATATAAAGATTATATGCGCAATTTTTCGTATGTCGGCTTTTAAATTTCATTATACGTTCTTCCGAAAATACAAATTAAAAATTATTGTTTTCTGCTTAAAAGTTATCAGTTAATATCAGGGACGCTATCGACAAAAATATTATATTTGCGTGCATTGTAAAGGTGAAATGATTAACTCGAGATACCTGCCATTTATGTTCCCAAAAATAAAAAAATAGCTGGATATTTGAAATGGTTATAAATCGAAGATAGAATAAATGCAAGTTGATCAGTGAATAGCAGGTATTTTGTAATCAGGGTATTCAAAATGTTTCGGCTCTTTAGGCAGCTTTACACTGCGAGGGTATAAAAACTAAGATCTTTCAAAGACACCTTTAATTAAAACAGTGTGTAGTTGGACACCCATTCTGCATTACAAAATTAAAAAAGTGAGTTGATGATATAGAAAAAAACAACCAATAACAATGCATTATTAAAGTAATATATATAGAAAGTTCCCCAAATATTGGTGTTATGTAAATGTCAACATTTAAATAAACTATTATTTAAGGTGTTCTAACCTGACCTTTTTAAACGGAAATTGCATTTCCGGTTCAAATGACAAATCACCGATCTGACTACCATTGTCATACAAGTAACAAAACTGAATTGCAAATGATTGGATTAAACCCAATTATACAATTGTGAGTTGCCAACGATTCTGACCTCGTTCAACAATACTTATTTAGTATTAAAAAGAGCCCTGCATGAATATTTTCTAACGCTTGTATTACAAAAATATTGTTTTGATTGTAAAAATAACTTTAACTTTGCTTAACAAATTTAAATTTGATAAACAAGACTTTTGTTGATTCAAGCAAAGCTCTGGTATTCTGGTGAAAATCTTATATGATATAATGTATTGTTTCGATTTTAGACCAGTTCCATTCGATATAGATTTGATGAAATGCGATTAGAATTTAATTGTTCACAAGTCTCTTCCAGCTGGCGCAAGGTAAGATACAAGCATCGGAAGCTGAACTCGACACCATAGTCATTTCTTACCATATGGGGTTTCTTTCTTTTCCATTTTGATAGTATTTTCCGGGGTGGGCAGTGCTTCGGTTGGCAGTGCTGTTGTGAGGAGCACGATAGAACTACAGTCGTTACCGCCCCATCCCATATCGCAAAAACAGCGGTTCGTATTCGTGCAGACCTGAAAAATTTAAAAAAAAACATATGCAAAATATGTGTGGTCGTCGTGGTAATAGTTTGTTGCATTATCGCACATCGTCGTATTCACATGTCAGCAGCATGCCCAACAATAAAGTCTACATCGTTTTTTTTTATGGCAATAGAGAGAGTGACATAGGCACTATTTATGAACTTACACCGTGTTCGGAGCACTCTTGACCCTGTGAATTTGCTGGGCACTTGGTTTGATCCACATGGGGAAAGAGACTGACACACGTTTGGTTCAGGCATATTAGATTATCACCGCACGGAGTTCCATCCTTGACCAGGCCATGTTCTGGATAACTGTTGGAGCCCACTTGCCCGCTGGTCGCCCTGTGAATACTCAAACAATTGTGAGACTATCTTTATCGGAACAATCACCTGATCTCCCTCCCCATTAGCCCATATTGGTCTTGCTACGCACTTGCATTCGAATTCCTGGCCCTTGATCGAAATGATTGTTCGTGAATAAAGCTGGTCGATACCATCGTTAACTGGTTGACGTTCACCATCCTTGCACTGAAGGGTTCCACACTGGACGTTTCTGTGCGGGGAAATTGAAATTGTGAACGATATTTAACTATAAATATTAAACAAAAATGTCGAAAAATATTTTGTAACCTCTCATAGAGTAGTCTAAAAGTTGTCTATGTTGTTAATGAATACCAATCTTTATAATGAAGCTATCATAATGAAGGACTTACTCTGGATCACACTTAATATAATGCTCATTGGCATCTCGTCCGCAATGCCCGTTTATTGAGCCTTTAGAATTAAATTGTTCATAGCACTGGCGATCCGCTGCTGATCCCCCGTAACCCCATATGGCCTCACATTGCAAACTCAGCGTGGGGCAATATCCTTGAAAACAATAACCTAAAAGACCAAAAAATCAAAAAATAGTACCTATTGTATATAAATCAATAGTTTACTAACCTGAGATGCCAGACTTGCTAAGTCCGCATGGGGATCCGTTCTTCTTAAATACATCAGATGGACATTGGCCAATTTCGCCATCACAAAATTCAGGAAGGTCGCACTCATTATTGGTGTCACGACAAATGTGATCCTTTGGGCGCAACTAATAGTGTGGAATACATTAGATTTAGTCGAGTTATGTCAATTAGCCAATCAATAACTTACGCGGCATTGGTCACAGCATTCACCACTGGCACATTGGGCCTCCGATTTTAGTTTACATGTAATGCCATCACAGCACGGGTCCATAGAACACTCCTCGAAAGTACCACAATCGCACTCCTCATCTTCTTCAACTACCTTATTTCCGCAATTTCGTCGTAATTCAATCTATATGAAATGAAAAGGGTTAAAAAGAGGACAATAAGTTATATAACAAGTTTCTTCAACATAGCATACAGAAGGGCATTAGAAGTGATTTGGTTCAACGCAGATGTAACTCCCAAAAGGTTCCAACTCAGTTTGGTATCTTGTGAAACAATTGTAAAATAAAGTGCAATATTCAGCTGAGTCCTCACCTCATTTGGCTTGTTGAGCAAACACAATCCGTGGCCAGTCCGCAATGCGTCAATGTAATCTTTTTTACTGCACTCGGAAAATTTGTATGGCTGGACATTCTCCTGGCCCACAATTGACTGGGCCATGATGCAACCGTGCCAGTCGCGGCAGAAGCACTCCTCGCCTACGGCACAAAAAGAGGAAAGAGGATTCTGTATTGAAAAGCAGACTGGAATATTGATGAGATAATTCTTACGTCCGTCGTCGTGTCCCATGCCGATGTTATGGCCAATCATGTGGGCCATTGTGCCCGCCAAAAGGTGGGGTTCATACACGTTGACATCCACGCTGATGCCCACAGCACGTGGTGTGCAAACAGTTTCGGGCACGGCCATGCCAGCCTCTCCACCGGCAAATGTTTCACCACTAATGGATCAAATAAGGCAAATATATATCATATATTATATAATATATAAAACCAAAACCAATCTCTTACGTGAGCAGCTGCGTGGTGTCCCGCTCGATTTGAAACAGATTTCTCGAGGTGTAATCGTTAAAGTTAGATATCGCCTTGCTAATATCCTTACTTCCATCGATAATGGCCTGATTTTTGCCCCAAGTCTCAATGTATACAACCGAAACACGGGTATTTAGAGTGCGAAAATACTGATGGAATATATATATAGAAGAATTTTCATTTGAGCTTACAATAGAAGCCAGAATAATACCTACCAGATCGGCTATGTTGGCAACCTGAATGGCATCGTGGATAACCTCCGCGCGAGTACTGCCATTTCGTTTATCGAACATTGCCTTGTCGACAATAATGGCCGTTTCAATGTACTTGGTGGCCTCCCTGACGTCCCGTTTATTGCGTCCCATGCCGCCCTGCAGGATCTCCTCAACGACGCCCGCAACTCCGGCGGACAAGTGCTTTGTGCGACGCGACAGCCGCCACGAGTCCAGATTTCCCGAGTTGGCACATCCTTTGTTCGCCTTTGTCCGGGCCTCGAAAATAACATGAGGATGTTTCTGCACGAAAATCAAAAATCATTATATGTATATATATTCTTAATAAACTGATGTACGAGTATGTAAATCTTACCGATAGATCCCCGCCATAAAAGGGATGAATAACGAAAGTTTCGTTGCCAATGTGTATGACGCCACTGACGCCGTTACAGGTGTGGAAAGCTGCGCTGGCACCAGGATAATCCTTTACGGTCCCATGGTAGTAACAGTGCTCGATATCCTATAAAAAAGTGTATGGAAATTTTTTTTACTGTTTATATAAATATTGTTATCCATAGTTTGTTCGTTATTGATCAATATTCAGAAAAATGTTTTTAAAAGAATTTAAAGAATTTTCTATTATATCTTTTTAGGGTAAAAATGTTACTAAAATCACTCTCAAAATGTTGAAACCTTAACTCACATGTCGGTTTCCATCGACAAGATATCCACCCACGTGGTAATGTTTCTGCTGTATATTTGGAGAAAGAAGTTGTCTGAAAAGAATATATGCCAAGGATATTTATAAATAAATGTTTTATTTATTTTCAGATAATAAACTTACGAATTAAGCTCCAAGTCCAAACGGAATTTATGATTAAATGCTTTTATTAGCAGCGATGTGCGATGGAAGTGTTTCTGTAAGTATAAATAATTATTATTTTAAGATAATTAATAAACTAAACAGAAAACCAAAGTTCATTTTTCAAAGTTTATAAAACCAAAACTTTTGCAAATCGTACCTTTGTTCTTCCTCTGTTAAAACCACTGTCGTCGTGAGGTCGAGGTCTTTGTCCCGGCTAAAAAGTTATAGAGAAATAAAATTAATTAGTGTGAATTCCAAGACAATAAATTTTTTGTATAAATTTATAACGATTTTCTTACCTTAGGGAGACTGACTTCACGCGTGGATATGCCCATCTTCTCGTGATGGCGCAGCTGTACTGGATATATAATTTGGTAATAGTGACCACCAATTCGACGGACAAGCTCTTGATTTTGCCTGTATTCTTTAAGTAAACGTTCCACTTCACCTAAAAGTAAATGCACATAATTATATCATTTATGGGGATTTCGTTTTTGTATTCATCTTAAGGCAGGTTTTAACTTTGAAAACACTAAATAATATAATATATGAAATCAATCTAATATGCTAATTTTTACTTACCAACAGGACTTTCTTCATTCCAAAATGAATCATCTAGTGTGTAATCTGCTTCTGTAAGAAGAGTTTTAATTGATTTTAGTGGTTGATTTACACTAAACAAATACGATAAAGAAGAAAGGACTTTGCGCAAAGTGAAGGTGAAAAGCGATGATATCAAAATGTATAAAAGAATTTAAAGATACGATTATTTCTTCCCTTGAAAACTTTGCAAAACAACTTTAGTCCAATAAAAGAACTATAATACCCAATTATAACACTAGGGAAACATTTAAAATTAGTAAATATGGATTGTTTTATTGTTAATAAAAAGATAACGGATCGGTAGGGTTTCAGAATCCAAACGCTTTGCCGACTTTCGTATGCTACGGTAAAGCGTAGGAATTCTAAAACTCTACAACACCCAGCTGCATTTATAACAATTTAATATATAGTTCTGTAGACTTGATACCTTAACACACGTCTGAGAAACAGCCTGTTTCAGTGTTAGTTTTGATAAAAATCAGCTTGAAAATTGCTGTGACATGTACCAGGTTACGATTTTTAACTATTCGCCTTATCGGGAATATACAAGTTTAATCTGCTTAATTTAAAAGCGAAAAAATATTGTAACGAGTGTCAGTGCGGATCATTTATCTGTCCGAAAATCTTTATATTCGTATAAACCATTTTAATATTAAAAATTTTTCAATTTCTTATAAAAATGAGATTGAGAGGAAAATGCAAAAACGATTTTCAGAATGCAATTAGTTAGGCCAAATAGAAGATTGTTATATAATAACAAAAGTACTTACCCCCCGCAGATGTGACGAAAACGCACAGCTGAGCAATGATGAGGATTAAATAGGCGATGTTTATCCACATGACGGCGGCTGCAATATTGTGATTAAAAGTGAAGTTGTCGAATCCAGCCCCACTTCTAAGTCTTAGTTTTCTCTCCTAATTCCTCTCAGTAATAATTTATAGAAAACTGTCTTCATATGGTACTTAAAAATTACTGTTTGCATTAGTTAACTTCCCTTTTTTTAGTATCTGTGGTATTGAATTGATTTGCAGTAATCTCTCCTCTCTCCTCGTTTCTAAGCCATTGGGAATGGGAAATTCGATTCGACCACTTTAGCCAAGCATTTTCATTTTCATTTGGGTTTGGGCCTTGGTTTTGGTTTTTGTTTTGTTTTGGATTTGGAATTGGGTCTGGGCCTGGATTTGGATTTAGATTTCGATTTGGATTTTGCTTTTGCTGTGTGTCAGTGGCAGTGGTTTTGCATTCGTGACTGAGGCTGTGGCTTGGTTTTTAATGGGTTGCAGATTCTGCTGGGATTGTGCATTCATCACACGACGAACTGACTTGGCTTGGCTTGGCTCAAGGAAGCTCGGAAAATAAACAAGATAATGATATCAAATTCAAATATAATAATCACTCTTTGGTACGTTTCCCAAAACGCTTTTCTATAACAACCGTAGCGCGATTAAAATGCATCAAAATCCGCACCAACTTCTCAGCAAGCGATGACCTTTGGTGCTGTAATTAAAAAAGAGGGTGATTTAATATTAAAATATTGTTTAAAACGAAGTTCATTAGCTGGTATGGTTACAAAATAATGTAACTTTCTTTATCTTTAACCCTTTTCCAACAAGAATATTGCTAGTTTTAGGCATTATCTTGTTTTTAAACTCACAAAATAGGATGCCGCTGCTTTAAGCCACATTTCTGGAAAGTTAACAACCGTCACTGATCTTAGAAAATATAACAATTTTGAAGCACAGCTTTTTTGACTTATAAACCATGCCCATCATGATCACACAAATTTTACGGTGATATCAGCAAGAGTTTATATTTTTCAAATCGAGTCACAATCATTTTCTCTTTTTCTTGAGATATGTAAAAAAAAAATTCTTCGATAGGGAAAATAAACTACTATAAAACAAGAAAAGCTCAGGTTAAATCTGCTTAGAGATGTGCATTAGGGGATTGCCCAACCGAAACTAATGAAAAGCCACGTTGGCACTTAGGTGAATGTGAATGTTGGATGTTGGATGTTGAATGTTGAATGTTGAATGTTGGGCACCGGACAGTTGAAGAGCGCACCGAGGCCACAGCCGACAATTTTAATTTGCGCTAATTAGGCAAGGACAGACATTTAGCGGTGACAGAGAAATTGTAGAAAGAAGATTCAATTAGCAGAAAAATCCTATTAAATAATTAATATTCATTAGGCGGTAGGCAAGACGATTGCGATTGCGATTGCGATTGCAATTGCGAATGCATTTCCGAATGTCCGTAAGTACTTTCAATAAAAAATAAAATGAACAATTAAGCCTTGGATTTTGAAAAGGTAAACTTTTTTTTATCGCCTTTCACTTGGTTTTGAATTTATATCAATATTACCTATTTTGAGATTATAGAAGTTTTTAGATAACAATATTTATAATGATTTGTAAATCACAATAAAACAGGAATATATATTTCTTCGAATCTGTGTATTTTTTTATATTTATGGTCAGATTTCAATTGCTTGCACAGAAAGTTAATCAGCGACTAAAAGCAGAGCAAAGCATAATTTTTAGGATCGAAATGGAAAATGGAAAGCTGCGCTGCTGACGGCAGCTTTTGTTTACATTCGGGAAATTTAAATGTTTGCAATTACTGTGATTTTTGTTCTCCCCGAGCATTCGCCTCAAATTCTCTTCTTCCATGCCTTTAAAATTATGCAATAAAAAAAATCAAACAAACATAAGGAAATGTTATTCCTATCAAATTTTTGAACCCGATCTTTATTTCTATTAAAGTGTAGTGCTACATATTTCCTTACCTATATTTAGTTACAAAACTAATATTGTTCTTCCGACATTAAAGACAGTCAATTTATATATGTATGTTGCGAATCAACAGGTTCTCAAAATTTCCAAATGCTTAGCTATAATTTATCGAATTTTCGCTTATATGAGGCCATCTTAGAATTTAGGTCAATTCGGGCCAAGAGACAGTCAGATAATTTATTGCCGCTAAGGGGGATGAGATTGGTCGTAACAAAAAAGGGGAGTGAGTTTAAAGAGAGAACTAAAAAAACAAATTTTGTAAATATGAGTAGATATGTTGAGGTATTGCAGTTCCAAAAAATCTCAGTGTTCAAAATTTATGTATGTCACAACGTTTGCCAATTTGCAACTAGCAAATGGGCGTGGCTGGACTTGGAAATGAATTTTAATCTTTTATCTCAAATTCTGTAGTTCCTATAATTGCAAAGCCTTTTATTAGTTATCTTAAAGTTAAAATAACAAAAATACATATATTAAAAAGTTATATTTACAATCCTTACTTGCAATAAATAAGGCTTCAACTCATGTATATATTCCTTGATGTTCTGTGGTTTTTTCTCAAAAGATGTAAAGTTGTAAATACCGGTCAAAGGTGTTGAACTGATATCTTAGATATAAGAGTATATACATATACAAACGCCCAGAAATATATATATATACATATATATGCAAGACCTGTTATTTGTCAGCAGGCACTATTACAAACTGAGATGGGAATTCAACTTCTCGAATATAGGTTAGTCTTGAGCTTGAGATATATGACATGGCTGGCATTTGAGGCTCCGGAGTCCGGATTGCCACTTATTTTCCTTGGTGTCAGGACGTCCACGGCAGGAACCTTGGACAGACGGACCAGACAGCAGCGGCTGAGGCAGCGGCAGCTGACAGGAAAATAAATAAATAAAGGGATAAAAATTAAGAACGCGAGAGGCGCGGCGACTGCGCAGCCTCCGACTAGACGGAAAAGCCCAAGATGGAAAAGTGCACATGTGTATAAATCTAGCCAATAAAATTACTTATGCCCTCACATTTCATCAGCACAAAAAAAAAAAAACGAAAAACACGGACACACACATTTCTCTAGTGGCGACAAAATGCCAGCGCTCACAACTTTACTAATTTAAAGTTCCCCTTTTTTTGTTTGAACCACAATTGGATGACAAAGTAGTTTAGCTTAAATACTATATTTTAATTCATTAACTTTTTACAAATGGAAGTTGACATTTTTACGAATTTTATCTGGATTCCATGATTCCAAAAAGTTTTACGAAATACCTACCAATTAGATGGACAATAGTTTATAGTTTTACACTTGAAAAAATACTCCACGAAAATAATAATAGTTTTAAACTGAATTTAATATGTTTTGTTTATGATAAAATTGTTAAATATCTTTAAATTATTTATTTTTAATCGATAAACCAAAAAATTTGTTGAACTTTTCATAAAGCTAACAACAAGTTTATTTTTATATTTTATCAATCCGTAGGCTATGACTTTTTATTCCTCATCTGGAAATATTTATGGTCTAGTATTAAAGTTAATCTGCAATCATTGACATTAAACAAATAAGTTACCAATCTACAATCAAAAGTCCATAGCTCAATGAAGATATTAATCTCTTTGGCCAAGCTAATCCATCTTTATAACAGAGCGAAACAGGAAGTGGGTGTTAACTATAAAAACGGACTCCTATTGTCTACTTTACTAAAAACAATTCGAAACTATTTCATGTAAATTTCCATTTTTTTATCTATAGTGACAATATTTTATAAACTTATTTTCTCTTTCGTTTCAGATATACCATAGTATTTCTTTTTTTATCTCTAGGCTCGAGAAAAGATTTTGAAGAGATAGATCGACTAAGTATATCAGCAGGACCGTCACCTTTTCCAGATCAGCGAGTTTGTGGGCGTTGTCACTTGAATTTGAATTGCGTTACTCCAAATATTTAAAACTAAATTTTGTTTCACTATTTTGTCTGGTTTAGAATAATAACTGTTATTTGGCTTTGTTTACCACTTTCAGTGGCTTCAGCGATTTGTAAGGAGAGATCTAACCTTTAAAAGCCTTTATTAACTTCATCTAATCACTATTTACAATCACTTAAAACTTGATAAAACTGCCGTGTACTTTATTCTATGCTTTGGTCATTGTGTTGAAACATTTTAACAAAGTCCTTTAGACTTTATTATAAACAAAAAAGAGATAAAATTACAACAAAAATTATGTTTTTTTTTACTGTGCAGAGCTTCGGGTAGGTGGGTCAATGGCAACGCATGCCCAGACCCACAATAATTGTGGATAAATGTGCCTTGGCAGAAGAGCAAGTGAATGTATTTTCGAAAAAAATACACAAATCACAAAAACAAAACCCTGACACACTTAACTTACGAAGGCGGCGAATTGGTTAACTTCTTGGCCAAAAGACCAAAACCAGAATTAGTTTTTTGCAACTCAATTCCTGCGTGCCAATACACTGGAGAGGGAGAGAGGTTATCCAGATATGCATTGGAATACAAAGTGTGGGATAAAAGCATTTCTGTATCGCTATTATTCATTGGTCATGCGCAGTCAGCCGCACCTCATTTCCGTCCAAGAGTCGAGAGTTGGGACAATATATTCGCAATTGCAATGATAGTAAGTATGCTGGGCATGTGGTATGTTTTGCGCAAAAGTATACATTTTCCACGTAATTATGGCCATTAAAACTAACCATTTCCATCTGCTTATCCCATCGCCACAATAATCATTTAGCTTATGTATACCACAAAAGTTTGTATATGTATATATGCAGAGATATTTGTACATATATAAAATAGATATGTGTACGTAATGGCACAAAAATCATTATCCTCGGGTTTGTACTTGTTTATCGTGGACCAAGTTACTTACCTATGGAAATACGGAAAATTCGCCTGAATCCATTTGAAACAGTTTTCTTTTTTTGTTTCTAAACTAATTTAGTTATTTGTTATCCTTGCGTTTGAATTTGCGTATAATTTTACATTGTACTGCTTTATGAACACACTCAGTTTATTATTTGGCCAAACAGTAAAAAAATATGCAAAAAATTTTCATAAAATATGTATTTTATGATCTTTTCTCCTTTCGCTTTCAGCATATATATATATATATGTATATATAGAGAAATATATATATATATTTATTCTATTTTAATTTTTCCCATATTTGATTAAAATGTGCTGGTTTTTAGCCGATTTTTCTTTGCGTTGCGTTGCTATGTCAATCATTTTATTCTTAGTAATTATTTGTTGAATTTTCACATATATATATACATATATATATATATATATATATATATATATATATATATATATAACTTAAAAGTTCACGGTGTGTGTTGGGATTTGAAAACGAAATACTTGGGTTATATACTTTTTGCCTGCCTTTTGTCAATAATAATTGATTTAATATTCTATTTTGACTATTTAAGTTAGATCTTTTGGGCGCCGACTCCGAATAAATCCTCGATTAATTATTGCTCTGCTGGCTGCTGGCTGCTCGAACTATTCGGCTATTCTTGCATCTTGCACTCTTTTCAATTAAAAACTAACGCCGTGTCTCATGCCTCGCTACCGCTTTCCGCAATTGCAAACAACGTTCTAAAGCTCTCGAACACGTCTGCAGGATTTTAGGCAGGCGAAAAACGATTGCCAGCTCGACGCAGTCGCAGAGAACCGGACAACTGGGAATCCCAATCCCGGTCATCCCGTCATCGTCATCGTCATCTCGGCATTGTCATCTCAGCATCTTGATTCGCACTCTCTCTCTCTCTCTTTGAATTTATGGCGCTCTCGTGGTTTTCGGTTTCTTGGAGGGTCGGGTCGGATTCTTAAGACTCCGTTTCCATTTCGATTCCGACATGGCTCTCTCGACCAACTCTCGCCAAAAAAAAATGTAATGAAATCCACCAAGGAGTTGAAGGCCCCGACCAGACTTACCATCCCGGGTACGTCTGTTTATGCCCGTTATGTAGAGCAATAGGATATATTATATTCGTGCAAAGGTGCGTAATTGTAAACGGAACTAAAGTATATATATATATTATATATGTATGAATAGTCTGTTGAGATCTTAAAAACTACAACAGCTCTGTGATAACTGGGTCTAAATGCTCAACGAGGGTTATGTTTCAAGTATTACCCACGCCTCCCCACCGCTTAGCTCAAACAAAATATACTTTTACGCCAAATGGTATTATAATTTTTCAAACTTAACATTCCTTTTTCGGTTAGTGTTGGCCAAAAAACGAGCTTTTTGGAGAGCATGATTAAGAAAATCTTTTCATTTTTCGTATTTTTTATAATTATTTATGGCCCAAAATAGAAATTATCAACACCATAATTTATTGCCAAAAAGGTGGAAAGGTGGAAAAATATACTTTGCATAGATAAGAGCGAGATAGAACTACAAAGTTTTTTTTTGTAAGCAACGTATAATTAAAACAAAACCGTTTATAGCCAAGTAATCTTTAACAATTAGAAATGATTTTCTTCAAGCTTTGGCGGCGCAGAATATTTCTCCTTGACATGAGAGCGGTAGTCCTCATCGTCATCGTGGCATTCCTTATAGCATTGATTGCAAAAGAGGTCTCCACCACATCCGTGGCAACGCAAAACCGCGTCCTCGTTACAAATGGTGCACCAGGGCAATTCTTCGGTGTTAATGTTGGGAACCGTGCTATTAATTTGACCGATTTCATTTTGAGAAACTGTTGGTAAGCGCGATTCGTCAACATACTGAAAAGAAAAAAATTACGATTTCGTATATCTTTATCTTGCTAAAACAATGACAGTATGGCTGTTAAAGTCTACAAACTTTTTTCATTATGTTTTGTAATAGAATCTCATCGTCCACTTCCTCCTCGTTGTCCATCTGGGATTTCGATGGGCCTGTATCTGAATCGACGGGTGTATCACGTAGAGCTCGCAGACGTCGTTCAATGTCGGAAATGGAATCATCCCTCTGCATATTGACTTGCTGGTCCAATTGGGTTTCCTCGACAAACTGTTCGAGCAGATCTCTCATTTTTTCCTCGTCGTTTCTTTGGTCAGTGGATAATAGCAAAACCTTTTTATCGTAACTTTTGTTATTGGGTATTCCCGTCAGATTGGCAAGACGAGCTCTAATCTCATCATCTGTGGCATCAACACGTTTATAATTCTGCATTCGTTTCGTCAGTTCACTGTCCAGGTTCTCATCAATATGATCTTTATGATTTTTGGAATGTAGTGCTGAACTGGAACTTGGAACCAAAGCCTCTGGTAGTTCCTCAACAGGCAAGGTTTCACTGCAATTGGCTTTAATAATGAATATGGGCTCAGGATTATAGTAGGGAATTATTACCCAAAGAGCACATCGGCATCTTCTAAGCTTTTGGCTGGAGGAGGTAGACAGAATTTGGTGACTAAGACCCCGGGCAGGGCCTCACAGTCTATAACCTTATCGGAATCGGCACTGGCCTGGAGTTTGGATAACTTATCGTAGCATATAAGACACACATTTAGTACCTTTCCCGAATGTCGGGGCACAGGCATCGGCCTTTTCAAACATTTGGAGCAAAATGAGTAGCCGCAGTTTGGGCATCCATACTATTGGAATTGAATAGTTAGTTGTAATCTTTGTATTCCATATATTTAAATATGCAACGTATGAATACGCTGCGCGAAACTTGCTTCTTTGTTGAATATACCATACTTGCGACCGCAACCAAAGCAACTCATTTTGTCCTGGCTGAGCAACTGCAAGTCAACATATATAAACTAAAAATTTGTCTTTGTTGTGTTTAGTCAAGATAAGTCCAATTAGAGATGGTCGACCAATACTTCTTGTTTAAAACAGTCCACACCACAGTGTTACCTATCGATAACGATAAAGCCATTGGACTCACAACAGCTGTTTTTTGTTTTGATTTCGATTTAAATACTAGAAAATATCAAAAACTTATATTTTAAGATTTGAATGCAAAATACTGTTAATTTTTGGGGGAAATCGGGATAAACGGTTTATTGCATTTTTGATAAGGGGTACCATCATCCAAATTTTAGAAAAATAGCCCAAATTTTTTATTTTAAACTGTGAATGCACTTCTGATACGAAATAAAAAAGCACGCTCAACGAGGTATTACATTCCATAATTGGACCATTATTGGCCAAGTTATGAGCAAAATGCTTTCGAGTTTGGAGAACCCAAAAATGCTACGTATTTTGACAGCAGGAAGACCGGCTTGTTGCCGTTTCTTAGCTCTAACTTTGTCAAAAC